TCTCCTGAATCTGTGTACCACAATGTGTTATTTGCTCTCAGCTAGAGCAACGGGGCAAATTAAAAATTTGCAGCCTGGTAGTCCAGGCTTGTTGATCCAGAGGTGATCTTGTGGATGGCAGCAGATGTTTGTAGCTGAATTCATTTTAAATCATTTTATTGGAAATCTGGGTCTCACGGTCTCTGTCCTCTCTAAATGTTTCTTTCTGGCTTTCAGCAAAATCCTCTTTCATTCATTCTTTCATTCTTTCTTTGGTTGTTGTTCCAGTTTAAAAATAACAACAACCCCCATATAACAACCCCCATATAACATGATCCCATCTCGTAGGACCAACGCATTTCCTGTCACAGCAGGATCTGCCATAATATACATGATCACAGTGTGAGCTATTTGGAATAATTTTTTTTAGAATCCCAAACTTTCCTTTGACCACCCTCAAGTGAGGAGGGGCTGTAGCTCCGTGGTAGAGCATCTGCTTTGCATGCAGGAAGCCCCAGGTTCAGTTCCTGGTATCTCCAGGTAGGGATTAGAAAGAATCCCTGCCCGAAACCCTGGGGGTCTGCTGCCAGTCAGTGTAGACAATACTAAGCTAGATGGACTTGGTATAAGGCAGTGTCCTATATTTCAACAGCGTCTGTGTTGTGGTAGAGGAGACATAGTGGTCTAGACGATGGTACAGAACATAAATGTTTATAGATATAAATACTGATCACTATCTAGCTGTTTTTTCCTTTAAAAAGCCAATGATTTTGTAAGGGAGGTTGCTCATTTCTCCACAATCCTGTCCCAGACTTTGTTCTGAACAAGAATGGGTTGGTCAGGCCATGGAGATATGTGCTTCCTCCTCCTCTTTCTCGTTCTTCTTTCTTCTTCAAATTAAAAATGTGCCACTTCCCCATCGTTTGATAGGAGGTGGGGCTGTCACTCCACGTAGAATTGTCTACGACTAAGTATCAGGATTGAATCCTCTGAACCTTTTTATGAATTCGCACATTGTTGAAATGTGGGATGTTGTAAAAACCCAAAACCAATGATGTACATTTGTATCATATATCTATCTATATATATATATATACAAAATTATATGTGATTGGGTTTGCTTTTTCATTTTAAAAGACAAACACAAATATGTCTATACGTGTACATTGGTGGAACTCTGTCCTGTACATAGATTCCTTTCTGTTTTGTTAATTCCTGACCCTGTGTTGGGTCTTGATGTGATGAGCACTTTGGAATAAAAGTGAAATATAAAATCAAGGAGAATCAAAGATTCAAGTGTTATTCTTTTAAAAAATGGCTGATTTGAGTTTCCATTCAGCGAGAAAGTCCTGGGGATTTGAGGAGGAGCTGTACATCAGTGGTACAGCATGAGCTTTAACCACAGAAGGTCTGAGATTCAACCCCCAAGCAATGATGTAGCATGGGTGAAATCACAGGGGCAATTGCCCTGGGTGCAAAATTCATAGGGGCACAAAATTTCAAAAGGGAAAAAAAAGAGAAAGCAAAAATAATAAATAAAAAAGAGTGTACCCTCCCCACCACACAGAACCCCCCCCATGTTCGTGTGGGCGGACTAAGGAGCAGATTTGGGTGACAGTCGGTTGCTAGGGTGCCCTCTGCATGCGCTTTAGAAAGATACGTGCTCCTGACAAATCCCCCATCCCACTTTCCACCATGCTTGCTGCTCACAGGGCGCCACAGCTGCCACTCGGGTAGGTCGCCAAGCTATTGCCCTTTGTTCCAGCCTATTGGTGGACAGTGCTGATGATACTTGCCTTGCCCCGTGCACTGGCAACCCATGTTATGCCACTGTCCCCAGCGGCATCTCCAGGTAGGCTAAGGGGGAGCCTTTGCTCTGAAATCCTAGAGAGTTGCTGCCAGTCTGTGGGAACAACCCTGAGCTAGATGGACTGACCCAAGGATCTGCCTGAGGCAGAAGGCATGTGCCTGCCTACATTTGACAACATTTGCTTTATTTACAAGTATGCAGCTAAAGGGAGGACACGGTGGAGGGTCACGAGAATTATATGTGCCGGGTGGGGGGAAGTTTTTCTCCATTTCCCATAATTCCAGAACTGGGGGGGGGGGCACCTTGTGAAAATGATTGGCAGAAAGTTCAGGGCAGAGAAAGGGAAGTCTTTCTTCACACCACACAGTTTGCTGATGGTACTCACTGCCACAAGATGGGCCTCTACCTGAAGACGGCTTCTAAAAGGTTTTAAGTAAATGCATGGAGACACGGGTTGTCGGTGGCTACTGGTCACGATGGCTGCAAGCTATCCTCAGGATCAGAGGCAGCTACTGTGCATCAGCAGCAGTAGGTAATGCTGCCCAACTCTCACGCTGTGCTTGTAGACCTCCGTGGGCATTTGGCTAGCTGCTGCATTGAAGCAGAATGCTGGACTAGACGGACCACACATCTAATTGAGCAGGTCCCCTCTTGTATCCTCAGGACGTAAAGTCCAGTACGTTCTTGAGAAACATGCTGGAAATCACCTACAGTTCCTCTGCAGGAGGAATGGTTTACCAGTGTGTGGAACACGCCTTTAGCTGAATGCCTGCAGTCTGGGGTCAAGCCCAGTGATACAGTTTTGATGCAAACCGGTCTCCATTTCTTATTACATAAATAGGGAGAGTCGTATAAGTGCTCCTCCTACAACTCACTCCTCGTTATGCTTGGGCATCTTAAAAACTTGGCTCTATGTAACTGCAGCTCTGTAATTTATTTTTTATACTGGAGATGCACCATGTATGGTGGTTATGTCTTATCTTGTACAAGTGTTTATGATAAATCAATAACAAATTTAAAAGAAGAACAACCTGAGCTGTGAGCTGTCCCACCCCCTTCTTCCGCTCCTGCCCTCCTCCTTTGCATAATAAGGCCTCTTAGTGCCCTCTGCTGGGTTAGAGAAGGACTTTGCAAGGAGTCACAGCCTCCCAGCCATCGCCTCTTGGCGGGAACTTAAACGGAAACCTCAAGAAGAACAGAAGAACTTCCCTTTCTCACTCACAGCAGCTGCGGCTGTGGCACGCAGAGCGCCATTACCAAGGAATCATGGCCCACGGTGAGATACATTGCTTTGTTTAGCCCTGCCTTCCAGAGGTGACAAAAGTAAGTGTGCAAAAAACCTCATTTCAGCTCGTTTTAAATTGTGCGACTTGTTTCATAATTGCATAGTTCCGTTCTCCTGCAGTAGCAAAATCTGGAGCTAAGCCTAGCTACCTGCAACTGAAACAACTGCAGATTCTTTCCATGCTTAACCCTGCTCCTTCCTCCGCGCCAGACTTCTGATTGTAAGATCCTCAGGGCAGAGGCCACCTGCCTCCTTGTACTCTGCACTGGCTGCACTGATGGCATGCCCAGAGGGGACCAGGACGGCATGAGTGGTTCTGGGAACCAAGTCCTATAAGGATTGGTTAAAAGAGCAAGGCATGTTTAGCCTGAGGGAGAGTAAGTGAATGACCCCAGAAGAGCCTGACGGCTGGATCTAGTCCAGCTACCTGTTCTCACGGTGGCCAACCAGACACCCTAGTGGGGAAACCTGAAAGGAAGACCTCAGCAGCACAACAGCAATTCTCCGCCCCTGTGAGTCCCAGCAACTGGCATTTCCTCAAAGAATCCTGGGAACTGTAGTGCAGCCCTCACTTTCCAGCACCCTTAGCAAACTATGGTTCCCAGGATTCTTGGAGCAGGGTAGGCTTAAATGCGCAGTGTGTTCGCAGTCATAGAGTGCCCCCCCCCCGGGAACTGTGGAAATGGTAAGTAGCAACCAAGAGCTCAGCAGCGGAAAGGCCAGGGCAGGGGTCAGTGCAATGAGGGGCTCGGATGCAAAGACTCCTATGAACATATTAATATTACATTGTGATGCAAAAGACTCACCAAGGGGTGAGGAGTGGAGAAGTTCCAGCCTGTTCTCCATAAGAAAGTAGGCTTGCAGTATCCAGGGCCGGCCCACCCATGCGGCAAGGTGAGGCGATTGCCTCAGGCGGCAGGATTCGCAAGGGCAGCAGATCCTGATGTAGCTCTTTCTCTCCCCCACCCCTTTGTTCCTGGTGTAGAACTTCCTTCACCCCTTCTTCCACGTCAGGGAGTGGCCGTGTGACATTTTGGAGTCCGCCTCAGGTGCCAAAATGTATTGAGCTGGCCCTGGTAGGATCAGCTCTAAAAGCCCACAGAGCTCCCACATCCAGTTTCCCATAGATGCCACTGAAAAGCCCAGAAGCAGGGTGTGAAGGCAACAGCACTCTGTCCATCGCCTGTCTCCACAGGCCTTTAAGGGAAGAGTGCTGCTGGGCAGGGAAGTTCCATTTAGATTTGCTACGGGAATCCATGCTCTAGTAACATTGGGCTTAGACTGCTGTAATGCACTCCACGGAGGGCTGCCCTTGAGGGCTGCCCAGAACCTTCAGCTATTTTGGAACACAGCCACCAGAGTGCTGACATTTGTGTGGACTTGTATGACACCAATTCTCAACGGCAAAAGACCACAGTTTGGCACGCACATAATTCTGATTCAACTTGTGAATTATGATGTCAACATTTATGTTTCTTAAAAGTTTCAATTTCGGGTCCCTCCAGATTTTACTTTGTGTGCCTTTTTTCCTTCGCCATTTTTAAATTAGCTTTTATTAAAGCTTTCCTCGTGTGGCAAAACAACCAAATAAACAAGGAAAAGGACATGTGGCATCTCCATTTTCGATTCATATTCTCTTTTTTACAGTTTGCCACCCATTCCCTCAAGTACAGTGTTGATTCTCTGAGCTTTGAGAAACGGCATTGAAGATCTGAAATAAAAGTAAAATATTGCCTGGAACAGATAAGATGCAACAAAAGCGAATCTGTGTAAAAAATGCGCCCCTCCCCTCAAAATTCAGCGCTGCGACCTAGATAGGCAGCTGCCGGGTTGGCCTAATTGCTAGCGCCGGCCCTGCTGGTGACAACTGGAAAGGCCCATTTCCCCCAGAGATCCCCTTTGCTCCGTCGGCCGCCTCATCCCCCCATCCCCCCCCCTTGGTCTCTCCCTGCCGGTTGGCTCCGCGGGCCATTCTCAGGGTGCCGGCGGACAGGCGGACCGAGAGAGGGGTGGGGAGAGGCGGCCTCTTTCCCAGGCGCGCTCCTGTACGCAGGCTCCGAGGCCGGCTCCTCCCTGACCCTCCAAGGGCGACGGCGGCAGAGGGGCTCTCCTGTCTCGCCGGCATCTCCAGCCTCATGGAGGCGAGGCCGGGCAGCACCGGCAGCGGCGGCAGCGGCAGCAAGCAGAGCCGCCCTCGGGGGCTGGAGCTCCGCAGAGGCAGGTGAGCCTCGGCGCCCCTTGGAGCGCCCAGCCCGCAGCAGCCCCGAGTGCCGCGAAGAGGTCCGGGGGTGCAGGAACGGGAGGAAGGATGCCCGAGCGTGCTCCCATGATCCGAAGCGAAGTGACTCTGGATTGCATAGGAATATGACCCTTCCGAACTCAAGGTAGGGCCTCTGGAAGAGGACGGCTTAAGAAGAGGATTTCGAGGGCCTGGGGGTGGGGGAGGCGAAAACAGGTGCAGGGGCTCAAGCCTAGCTTCTTTTTAAAAAATGCCTTTTCTAGAGATCAGTCAGAGACCGGGGGGGGGGGACATTTTCAACATCAGGGTGCAGTTTTAGAGCAAATAAGCACACAGGACTTTATCGTGGTCCGTGTAGCTCTGTATTGTTTATACTGACTGGCAGCAGCTGTCCAAGGTTTCAGGTGGGGGGACATTCCTAGCCCAGCCTGGAGATGCTGGGGATTGGACCTGGGGGGGGCGGGGGGCAATCTGCTTGCAAGGCAGGTGTTCGAATCCTGCTTGCAGGTTTCCCGTAGTACCTGGCTGAACCCTGTTGAGAACAAGATGCTGGACTAGATGGGCCAGCGGGCTCTTCTCGTGTTATTATGGTCTTTTGACCCCTGAACTGTGAGCCGGTTCATAAGAAGAGCCTGGCTGCTGCATTAGTCCACACTCCAACAATGGACATTCAGAGGGACACTGCACAGTGTTGGTAGAACATAGCCATTGTGGCTCATGCCCATTGATAGCTCTGTTCTCCAAGAATTTGGGAAATACTCTTAAAGCTACCCAAGGCGTAGGAGGGCAGCATTCTCAATTAAGCAACCACCTCATCTCTACAGGGAGACTCCTGACCTAGATCAAGCCTGGCTGACTCTTTGCATCTCCCCATTGGTTAGACAGAACTAGGATCTTTCCTTACTTCCTGCAATAAACGTAGCTTTCTTATTGCCCCAAATTCAGAGTCCTGGTGGGATTACGTGCAAGGTAAAGAGTGATGCCTCAGCTGGGCTCCTGTATTCTGTCCGACTTCCTGCTTAACTGCCCAATGCCAACAGATGCTAAACCAGAACAGGAGAATAACTTGTAGAAAACAAAGGCAAAAAGGCAGACCAAAAAAATGGCTTGATTTTATTTCATATGCTATAAAAAAAGCACAAATTTAGACCTCCTGTGACCTGTGGGCAATTATTGACAGATACATTTATTTGGTGCTTGATATGTGGTGGAATTAACTTTTTTCTTTTCTTTCTTGGACATATTTCTGAGACTGTTCCAGGGGGAGGGGGGAATATTATTTGTTTCCTTTGTTCCTTGCCTTGTATTACCTGTGAAAGATAAACGAACACTTAATTTAAAAAAAAACTGCAGAGGGGGTGGAATTTGAGAGGAGGAGGGTAACCAGAGGCCATTGTCAACAGAAGCATTTGCAAGGGTGAAAACCTCCCATGGCCTTTGACCAGGCCTTTGCAAATTCCTGATTGGGCAATCCCAAATGTTGTTCGAAGTGTATAATGTCGTGACTAACAGACCTTACCTGAGCAGTCGCCTGAAGTCTTTGGAGGTGGTGATAGCAATGTGAGTAGGCTCTGTGTGTGTGTCTCTGTGTAAAAACAACAATTCCCTTGATACCTTTTCCCAGGGTGAATTCCATTCTGTGCATCTGGATTTAAGAGATTATGCTTATTCTGTTTACTTCCTGATTTTTCTTGTTGCAAAATAACCAGGAATTTACGTTAACTCTTTGACGCCTATTTGGGGCCTATTTGGAAGGAAGAACCAGATTATTCTATTTCGTACTGGATTGCTTGTTGTTGCTTTTTTAAAAAAAAGCAAGTTAAAATGTATACATAGGTTTTTGGCCAAAATGACCCCTAGAGTACTGTAGAAATATGTCTATAATGTATCTATTTAAGTTGTTTTAAAATCAGGAGAAAACCAGGTAAAACTAGCATGCAAATGACAATTATTATTATTATTTATTAAATTACAATCACAAGTGTCCGGCATTAGATATAACAATAACCCAGCTTTCCCTAACCTGGGTACCTTCCAGATGGTTTGGACTACAGCTCCCATCAGCCCCAGCGATCACCCTTTTGCTGGCTGGGTCTGATGGGTGTTGTAGTCCATTAGGTCTGGAAAACACCACCTTGGCAAATGCTGTAATGGCAAATTCCCTTCCATTTTACTCACTTCCACACTAGTGCTTAACTTCTTTGCCCCGCAAGCCCAGGCACTGAGGAGGGGCAGGGTCAACTCTGCACATTCTCAGAGACACTCTCGCCTTTGTCATTGCTACATATCTTGCAGGGCTTATCCTGGTATTCAGAACAGACCTGAGGCCTTGGAACATAAGACGAGCCCTGAAGTTGGGTCGGGCCAAAGGCCTATGCAGATTTCCAGGATGCCTGTTTGGGCTTGAACTAGGACCGATTCAGTGCTGTGGGTCAGTTGTCTTTCCTCCTTTGTCGATCTTTGAATGGTTTGTGTCCATCCCTGTAGAGTGTGAAGCAGTAACAAAGAGGAGAGTGTCTCTGAGCATGTGCAAGAGCAGTGGCGTAGCGTGGGGGGTGCAGGGGGGGCTGGCCACACCGGGCGCAACATCTGGGGTTAGGGCAAATCCACGGGTTAGGGGGCGCAAATCCACAGGTTAGGGGGCGCAAATCCACGGGTTAGGGGGCGCAAATTACTTGCCTTGCCCCGGGTGCTGACAACCCACGCTACGCCGCTGTGCAAGAGTAAGACCCTTCCTCTCCCTTCTGTTTTGTGACTTGAGGACACTCTTGGCCTCCATTTGAGTTGTTGAAGGCGTGGGCAGGATAACGGTTGTAGGGCTACATCTGACTCAGCCTTAGAGCCATAGCTCAGTGGGTTAGAGAGTAGTGCTGATAAGGCTAAGGTTGCAGGTTCGATCCTTAATGTGGGACAGCTGCGTATTCCTGCATCGCAGGGGGCTGGTCTAGGACACCTTCCAGCTCGACAGTTATATGATCAAGACAGAGTAGAGTAAGTAGTAACAGAAAAAAGAGTGCCTCTGGGGGCATGCAGAGTGCATTTCTTTCATTAGTGGGGAATCTCAGGCCCAAGGGCCAAATGTGACCCTGCAGCCTTCCCTATTGGGTCTTTCAAAGTCACGCCCCTCACTGGCCTCGACTGTGTTTGCTGGTCTGCAAAATGTCCTTGAACTCTGAGAATGCCTTTCCTGTGCCTTGATGGAGGACAGAGAGGGGTGTGCGCAGAAGGGTAAAATTCGCATTTGTTGCTTTGCACGCTTTTGCCTCTGGCCCTGCCAACTGTTGGCATGTCGCCATTGGGCTGGAAAAGACTCCCTGCCTTTGCAGCAGTGAGCGGTTGCATCTGATCCACACATGTCTCAAGAGCAGGGAAGCGGGCATCTCAGCCATTCCCTGGGACCATTGGACTGGGGGTCTTTCTCTTACAGGGTGAGGCAGGGTCCTGTCAACCCTTGGGGTGCTTTATTGTGCTTTTTTTGCACAGATTTGGAGTGTGCAGTTCCTCCTGCCTTGCATTGCTTTTTCAAATCCCCTCTTTGAAAGCTGGAGTTCTCAGAACCTCCCGAACACTTGAGATGGGCATAATCCAAGTTTATTAGCTTTTTCGCCCTTCGTGGATGGAGGCAGAGTTTTCCCTTCTGTTACTACTTTTTTCAATTCCCTTTCAGGTGCAGCTGTGCTTTGACAGGGGCCAGACGCTGGCCACTGTTCCTGCCTCCCGCTTAGGGGGTGTAACTGGTTCCCGATGGCTTCTCAGGGGACCCCCAAGGACTCGTAAGTACCAAAGCCCCGTGAGATCTGACTTGGGGAGAATATACTTTGAAAAGAGCCGGGATAATAAGCATCTTAACCCTCAGTACCACTTGCAGAGACTGAAACGTGAGAATGATACCTGGGATGCCTTTGAGCACATTGCATCCTGAGCCTTTTGGGTAGGGATTTTGTAACATGCACAAGAGTCCCGAATGTGACACCCCTTCATAGATGAGTTACTGTTTTTCATGTTAGAGGGTGGTTTGTTTATTTGTTGTTGAGTTAAACAGAATCCCTTCTCAAGCAGAGGTTGCTCATGGGCCTGTGGGTGTAGTCGAGTGTGGTGGGCCAGAGTGGGGAGAGCTCTGGGTTCAAAATCCATGAAGCTTTTCTTTGCCCCATCATGGCTTAAAAGTAAAGGGACCCCTGACCATTAGGTCCAGTCGTGGCTGTCAGGGAACTGCCATCAGTGCCGGAGGGAGAGAGAGGGCTCCAGAGGGATCCCAGCGAGTGTCCCGGGATTGGGAGAGGCAGCCCATCTTCTGGGGAAGGGAATCAGCTCAGCTCCAGTGGAGAAAGGGGGGCAGATGGGGGAATCTGAGAGGGTGTCACATGACTCCTTGCCGGGGACCAGCGGGGGGAGGAAGGGTCCTCCGCTGCCTATGCTCTCCTTGCGCAGAAGGCTTCCGCGCAGGGAGAGTAGGAGGAGACTGGGCGTGGAATAACTTCTTTGTTGGAAGAAGTTTAAGAAACGCCCACTGACGGATTCTGCCAGCGATTGAGACAGCCACGGGTGAGTGGCTGTCCGGACAGAAAAGGTTCACTTAAGCAACCCAGCCAGGTGTGGGCACCGGCTTACGCACGAGCAACCCCTAGAACCATTACAGTGGCCGACTCTGGGGTTGCGGCGCTCATCTTGCTTTGCTGGCCAAGGGAGCCGGCGTACAGCTTCTGGGTCATGTGGCCAGCATGACTAAGCCGCTTCTGGTGAACCAGAGCAGTGCACGGAAACGCTGTTTACCTTTCCGCTGGAGTGGTGCCTATTTATCTACTTGCACTTTGACGTGCTTTTGAACTGCTAGGTTGGCAGGAGCAGGGACCGAGCAACGGGAGCTCACCCTGTCACGGGGATTTGAACCGCCGACCTTCTGATTGGCAAGTCCTAGGCTCTGTGGTTTAACCCACAGCGCCACCTGCGTCCCTCATCATGGCTTACGGGGAGGATAAAATGGGATGATCTCATGAGCTTCTTAGGGGATTTGTAGGGTACAAAGGTGGTTAAAAAAACACCTGAGTGTCTGACTAGGACCTGAGAAACCAGGGTTCAAATCCCCACTTGGCCACAAAGCTCACTGGGTGACCCTGGGTCAATCACTTCCTCTCAGCCTAACCTCCCTACCTCACAGGGTTGTTGTGGGGATTTAATAAGGAGGAAGAGAACAATGTACATGACCTTGAACTCCCTGGAGAAAAAAGGTGGGATATAAATGCAATAAAAAATAATAAATTTGCCCGTGTTTGCAGAACTGCAGTGAACCTTAGAATCATAGTTAGAAGCAGTTGGAAGCAGAGTCATACAAATCATAGTTGGAAGCAGAGCCTACACAACACAAAACACTGTTGCTGTATGTGTGTGTGTATATATATACATATATATTGCTTTATTACCTTTTATTTTGGAAATGTACATCCAGGTTTTTTTTCCTTTAAATTTTTTTGGGGCCCCCGAGAGAGTGGGGCCCTAAGCTATAGCTTGTTTAGCTTATACGTAAATCTGGAACTGTTCATATGCCACCCATCTGACCGGATTGCTCCAGCCACTCTGGGTGGCTCTCAACAAAATATTAAAAACCCAATTTCGTTATACAGTACTCAGAGTATAGCCGTTGAAATGAATGGACCTAAGTCAGTCATGCCCACTGATTTCAATCAAGGGTCCCTCTAGATGTTGCTTTTATTGCACATTCATGATGGTATCGGTGCAGTGAGACACTTTTCAGTACTGATTGCACCTGCCAGCATGGGCCAGCAGTCAGGAAGGATGGGATTTAAAGCCCAGAGATATTTGGAGGGCTGCAGGTCCACCCCCCCCCCCACTCCTGGACGAATACAATGAATCCGTGATGCATTCCACCAGAATCTGCCCAGTGGAGTGGATGGGGAAGGGTGGAGTGGGACCAAAGGGGTGGGGGAATGAAAATCTGCAAGCCTCAGTTAGGAACGGTTGAGGGAGTTGGGTAGGTTTCGCTTGGAGGAGAGGAGACTGAGAGCTGATACAATAACCATCTTCAAATATCTGGAGGATGTTGCCACATGGAAAACAGAGCAAGCTTGCTTTGAGCTGCTCTGGAGGGTGGAACTCAAACCAAAGGATTCAAATGAGAAGCAAGGAGATTCCTGTTAAACATTAGGAAGAAATTTCTGAGGGTAAGAGCTGCTTGACAGCAGAAGGTGGTGGCCTCTCCTTCACTGCTGATTTTTAAGCAGAGGTTGGATGGCCACCTGTCGGGGATTCTTTAGCTGTGGTTCCTGCATTGTAGGGGGTTGGACTAGATGACCTTTGGGCAATCCTTCCAACCAGTGCCAGATTTATATATAAGCTAAACAAGCTATAGCTTAGGGCCCCACTCTCTTGGGGGCCCCAGAAAAAATTTAAAGGAAAAAAACCCACGGTGTACATTTCCAAAATATAAGATAAAAAGCATATTAAGTTATGTGCAAATGGCTTTAGATACCTAAAAGGTAAAGGTAAAGGTACCCCTGCCCATACGGGCCAGTCTTGACAGACTCTGGGGTTGTGCGCCCATCTCACTCAAGAGGCCGGGGGCCAGCGCTGTCCGGAGACACATCTGGGTCACGTGGCCAGCGTGACAAAGCTGCATCTGGCGAGCCAGCGCAGCACATGGAAACGCCGTTTACCTTCCCGCCGGTAAGCGGTCCCTATTTATCTACTTGCACCCGGGGGTGCTTTCAAACTGCTAGGTTGGCAGGCGCTGGGACCGAGCAGCGGGAGCGCACCCCGCCGCGGGGATTCGAACTGCCGACCTTTCAATCGGCAAGCCCTAGGCGCTGAGGCTTTTACCCACAGTGCCACCCGCATCCCAAATACCGGGCTAGCAGAGGATGGTTTTGATCCATCGACCTCTGGGTTATGGGCCCAGCACGCTTCCGCTGCGCCACTCTGCTGCTTGCTTAGATACCTAGTAGGTCCTATAAATCACCATATAGCATATATTCAACACACAAAAACAGCGACAATTTGTTGTTGACAAAGGATAGCTGGCCATATAAAGGGCCCCATTACCTTCAGTAGCTTAGGGCCTCATCAAACCTAAATCCGGCATATGAATAATAAAAATCATTATGAGTTAGTTAGTTAGTTGTATGCAGCCCGTTATTTCTGCTCTGCACCCAACACATTTTTTTCGTTAACTCCAAATTGGACCAGTTGTATAAGCCTCACCTCCCCATTGTTTTCAGTTACAAAATGCAGCTGCCTAGGTGTGCCCTCTTGGGTTTCCTTTTCTGCATACTCAGGTATGTGTTTGGGGAGGGAATGGAATGTTTCGCACCTGGATTAGTCAAGTTGCACGAGTTACTTACGGTATGAGGATTTGAAGTGTTGAGTTTCCAGTTTTCTGGGCAGGTGCACAGATTTCCTTTAGGTACCCTGTTCCCCTCCCCGGTGCTGCCACAAGTGCACTGGTGACTTAAATCTTCCGCTTCCCTTCTTTTAAAAAACAAAACAAAACAGCAAACAAAGGAATCAGTTCCTCAAAACCTGATTTTCCTGTCCAGAAATGAGCACAGGGGTGGGAACGCTTTCTTCTTGGCGCTGTACTCCATTCGTGTGCCAGGTGGGGGAGGGATAAGAAGATGGGGTGGTAAATAGATTGGCGGGGAGGAGGGCGGAAACCGCTACCAGGCAAGGCCTTGTCATGTAGACATGCCTTCGGCTTATTAGATTAAATCTGTCGCTCTCTTTCTCGCTCTGCTTCAGATCCAGCCTTTGGTAACCTGGGGCGCTCAAGACACTTTGGACTACAGCTTCAGTCAGCCCCAGTGATAGGAGTTGTGGTCCAAAATTTTGGGAGGCAGGGGTGGGAGAAACCGCCAGTTTCCTTTCCTCATTTTGCCAATCTGGAGTTGAGCTCTCCACATTTCCGCCTCAGTCCTCATGTTGGTAGTGGGAAGCCCTCGTGAAAATTCATGAGCGTATTTCTGTAGGCAGTTTTGCCTAACAAAGACAATTTTGCAAAGCCGTTTCCTAATGCATTTGGGCATTATATTTAGATACGCACTTTAATGCACATTTGTATGCGCGTTTCTGCACACATGGCTGGGGAACTGCACTGCAAAATTGGGAAGATTGCAGATTTCAAAGCAAAGCTGTGTTTTGGTTCTTGTATTGTTCCAGAAACCCCAAAAACAGGACTTGACTACCCTTTCGACTTCCCCTGATCTCCCTCACCTAGTGTCACTTTGAGCCGTTGTAGGATACTCAAAGGGTGGTTAGGCCCAGCCGCCCAGCCCTACTCTGAGCACTGCAGCCACAGTTACACAGTGTTCTCATGTAGGGGAAGCATTGCAGGATGTTACCGGCGGGCTTGGATTGTGGTATTTATGACCCACCTGCCTGGCCTGAATTGCTTTTGACTCCTATTTGAGAGGGAGGGAACGTAGTACAGTGGTAGACTGCTTCCTCTGCTTACAGAAAGTCTCAGATTCAATTCCCAGCATCTCCAGTTAAAAGGGATCAAGAGACAGGTGGCGGCTGCCTGAGACCATGGAGAGCTGTTGCCAGTCAGAGCAGGCAGTACTGAGCCTGATCTAGCCCTGATTTTTCAGAATCTTGAGGGCTAGAATCTTTATCACTCTTTTTTAAGCAGGACTGTAGCTCAACGTTAAGACTGCTTGCTATGCAATCGGGGCACCTTCAGTTAGGAAGGATCAGGATCAGCAGGTAGTTGGTGATGGGGGAAGCCCCCCTTGCTGGCTGAGACACTGGAGAGCCGCTGCCAGCCAGAGCAGGCAATACTGCGCTAGATGGACGAGTGTCCTGATTTGCTCCCAGCTGCATCTGTTTAATGGCTGCTTCTCCTCTCCCAACCCCCAGGTTCCATTGTGTGGGGATCATCTTCTTCCTCCTTGGCCTGGGAACTCTCCTGCCCTGGAACTTCTTCATCACAGCCATACCGGTGGGTCCTTTGCTTTAGGCACCTTCTTCTCTGGGCATCCGCGGGGGGGGGGGGAGGATGACACGTTTCCAGGGCTGAGCCCCAGGACAGGGTTGGGATAATGAATACTGTAGATGCTCAGAGAGGATATCTTTATTAGATATTATCCTTCCTCCTTTACGTTTGTGAGTTCAGCAGAAGGCATCCTTTTGCAGATTAACAGGGAAGTTTGGATAGGCTAGTTTTAGCCTTTTGAGTTTAAGTAATCCAAGATGCTTTAAGGCAGACTGCCTTCTCCCTTGTATTTCCCCCTTTTCTATCCCTTAAAATAACAACCACACAAACAGTCTTGTAAAAGGTAAAAAAAGAAAACATTTACTCACTCAGAATACTTGTTGAAGAGTTAACAGATACAGCAGCTTTGTCTGGGCAGGCTTAACATGGTAATTCTGTAACAAAGACATACCGTATTTTTCGCCCTATAGGACGCACCAGCTCATAGGACGCACCTAGTTTTCAGGGGGGGAAATCAAGGAAAAAATATGATTCCCCCCCCCCCGCAGCTCTGGGAGCAGTGGACAGGTTGCACGCAGCCTGTGCGCTACTCCAAGACCTTCTCCCTGCTTTTGCGGGAGGTGGCGGAATTCCCCCACCTCCCGCAAAAGCCCACAGGAGCCCCGCGTGACTCCTGCGGGCTTTTCGACCAGGAGGGAGAAGGGACTGAAACGGCCAGTCAGTCCCTTCTCCCTCCTCGGGGAATAGCCCCCAAGAGCGGCGCACTCTTTAAAGGGTGCGCGGCTCCTGCGGGCTTTTCTAGGAGGTGGGGGAATTCCCCCCCCCTCGTAGAAAAGCCAGCAGAAGCCGTGGAGCCCCTTTAAAGAGCGCGAGGCTTTTGCGGGCTTTTGCGGGAGGTGGGGGAATTCCCCCATCTCCCGCAAAAGCCCAAAGGAGGGTTGGAGAGTAGCGGCAAGGTGTCACGCACCTTCCTGCTGCCCCCCATCCTCTGGGGCTGGCGATGGGGGAAGCGCTGCTTTCCCCCACCGCCAGCCTCAAAGAGCAGACTCTCCTGGCTTCAGCGGAAGCAACGCGAAGTCTCCGGAGCGCAGGCTTCGGAGGCTTCGAGTTGCTATCGCTGAAGCCAAGGAGTCTGCATTCGCCCCATAAGACACACACACATTTCCCCTTCATTTTTGGAGGGGGGAAAGTGCGTCTTATAGGGCGAAAAATACGGTACTTAGGTCTAGCTTAGCAGATGTTCTTATGTTGCTGGCATGGTGGAAAGAGATAGGAAGAGTAAGAGTGGGAGCGTCTCTCACAGAAACCTTTCTAGGAAACTTGCAGGAAAACTCTGTGAGCTTCGTCTCCTGTCGTGCGCCTATCTAGCAAAACATGAATTGTTGGCTTGACTGCACGTGGTTAACTATCTCATGTGCAGCTCACGCCAGGAATCATCGCCCTTGTTGCACACTCACTTCTTTGCATTTCCTGTTCTTCAAAATAAGAGGAAACTCTGAATCCAGCTGCGCTCTAAGGCCGTTTGCCCAGAATGAATTAGGCTGCATCCCTGGATCCCACTTAACCTGGGAGCAGGAACGGAAAGGATAGTCTCCGTTTCACACGTATGAGTTCATTCGCAAGGCCTTTCCATCCCATTCTGGCATCAGTCCGTAAATTGTTTGTTTAAAAAAAACAGCTGCACAAATATGCGGATTGCTCTTTGCCTATCCAACCCTGCAGTTCCACCTTTGGGGTGCTCAGAAGGGGGAGGAGGAAGAGAGGAAATGGAAGCCCCATTGTGCCAGTGGCACGCAGTGATGGAGGCTGTTTGTGATGGCAGCGTGGCTTCCTGTTGTTTGGTGCTTTGAGGAAACGGGTCGAGTTTTGGGCTTAGCTCACCATAGCCAGCCCTGGAACTTCCATAGATTGCACAGCATGGCAGGGATGAGCAAGGTGCAGTGGAGCATGTGCAAAGTGTCCTTGCACCATGCCTCAATTAGCCTGCACGCATGTGGGTTAAGAGGGGAAGAGCTTTAACGGTCCAACAATGTGTGTTGTATTTTTATCCTGTGAACCACCCTGCGATCTTGCAATGAAATGGGGTATATAAATATCTAATAAATAACCATGGTGTAGGGCGAGTCTGAGTCCCGGCCCCTCTCTTCCTAGGGAATTGAACACACAGACACTGCTCACACAGAGTATAACCTTCTTTTCAGTATTTTCAGTCTCGGCTCATTGTGGGGAACTGCTCAGCTGGCAAGGAGGAGGATGGGAACTGGACAGGCCTGGGACTTGAACCCTCATCCCACTGCAGTGATGACTTTAACTTCAGCAACTGGCTGACTCTTCTTTCCCAGCTGCCTCTGCTCCTCTTCACCCTTCTCAACTCCCTCCTCTACCAATGGTGAGCTTCCTGCTCCTCCATCCTGGCCCAGATCCCATGCCCAAGACAGGTGTTGCCCACCTCTGTCTCCACACTCTCCCAGGTTCCCTTTCCGGGCACGGGTGAAGCGTAATCTCCAGAACTGTAAACTGCGCTACAAGGGGTTAGTCACAACAAAGCCTTGATTGTGCTTGCAACAGCCCTGTGAGGTAGGACCACTGTTGGTTCCATAGTACATATGGAGAGTTGAGGCAGAGAGACCAGAAACTTGCTTTGTTTTGAGGGCCACCGCTCACTGGTAGAACATCTGCTTTGCATGCAGCAGGTTCTGGGTTCAATCCCCAGCATCCCCAGGTAGGGCTGGGAGTGTCCTCCACTGAAACCCTGAAGAGCCACTGCTGGTCCGTTTAGACAATACTGAGCTAGGACCAACAGCCTGACTCTGTATAAGTCAGCTTCCTACTTAAATCAGCCCTTTATTCAGGACCATGTGGACCAGAAACCTAAATCCTTCTGAGACGAAGGGTCATAGATCCATGGTGGAGCCTCTGCTTTGCTTGCAGGAGGTTCCCAGTTCAATTCCCGGCATCAGTGTTGAATCCCAGAATTGTATTGTTGGAAGGGACCCCAAGGGTCCTCTAGTCCAGGAATCTCAGCTAAAGCATCCATGACAGGTGGCCAGCCTATGCTATGAGAGCCAGTGTGGTGTAGTGGTTAAGAGTGGTGGACTCGTAATCTGGTGAACCAGGTTCGCTTCCCCGCTCCTCCACATGCAGCTGCTGGGTGACCTTGGGCTAGTCACACTTCTCTGAAGTCTCTCAGCCCCACTCACCTCACAGAGTGTTTGTTGTGGGGGAGGAAGGTAAAAGGAGATTGTGAGCCGCTTTGAGACTCCTTCGGGTAGTGATAAAGCGGGATATCAAATCCAAATTCTTCTTCTCTTCTTCTTCTTCTTAAAGAACTCCAGAGAAGGAGAGCCCACAACCTCCAGTGGCAGTCTGTTCCACTGCCAACGGCTCTTACAATCAGGAAATTCTTCCTGATGTATAGTTGGAATCTAATTTGAAGCCGTGGATTCAGTTCCCTTCCTTCCCCGTATCTCCCAGCTGCTCAGCCCCCTCCGACTCTTATCTAGGCAGCGCAACCTTTAAGCTTTCATCTTTCTCCTTTCCACCCCTGCAAAGCATTCCAGACAAAGTGCGAATCCTGAGCAGCCTGATCGGGATCCTGCTCCTCTTTGTGCTGACGGCCGTCTTGGTCAGGGTGGAGATGCCGGCCCAGAGTTTCTTCTCCATCACCATGGCAAGCGTCTGGTTCATTAACTGTGAGTTCTGCGTGGCCTGCGTGGGGCCTGGCTGTCTCTCTCAGAGCAATAACGCCATTGCCATCTGCTCCCGAGCCCTGCGGCAGATCTGTAACCTCCAATGTTTGAGTTTGGAGAAGAGAATGACCAAGAGCCAGTCTGGTGTAGCGGTTAGAGAGTCAGTCTAGGGCCAGGGAGACCCAGGTTCAAATCCATGCTTGGCCCCAAACCTTTTGGCCAGCTGCTGTCTCTCGGTCTGAACAGCCTCACAGGGTTGTTGTGAGGGTAAAACAGGGGTGAGGAGAACCATGGATCTGTGGCTCTGAATTTCTGGGATGAAAGGTGGAGCCAGAAGTGTAACTTTGATGTAATTTTAAAAGGCTGAGGGGAAGGGCCGTCATGCCGAAGAGGGGAAAAGACTTGCTGGCTCCGACTGGATCTGATGTGCTTAAATTACAGGAAGGCAGGTTGAGGATTAGGATGGTAAGAACAGTTTTATAATCATAATTATAATAATAATTTATTACTTATACTCCACCCATCTGACTGAGATGCCCCAGCCACTCTGGGCGGCTTCTAACAGAATATAAAAGAACACAACGAAACATCAGACATTAAAAAGCTACCCGATACAGGGCTGCCTTCAGATGTCTACAGAAAGTCGTATAATTGTTTATCTCTCTGGCACCTAATGGGAGGCCATTCCACAGTGAGGGTGCCACTACTGAGAAGGCCCTCTGCCTGGTTCCCTGTAACTTCACTTTTTGCAGTGAGGGAACTGCCAGAAGGCCCTCAGAGCTGGACCCCAGTCTGGGCTGAATTATGAGGGTGGAGATACTGTATACCCTATACCAGGGGTCTGCAACCTTTAAGACAAAAAGAGCCACTTGGACCCGTTTCCGAAGGGAAAAAAACTGGGAGCCGCAAAACCGGGAAAGTGACGCCGGGACGGTGCGTGACTAACGCACGCACCGCCCCCATGCGACGTCACAGCCAGTACAGCACCTGCCACAGTGGGGAGTGTCGGGGCGCACAATGCGCCTCCTCCCCTCGCTAGTATCCGCCCCGGAGCCGCGGCAAAGGGTAAAAGAGCCACATGCGGCTCCGGAGCCGCGGGTTGCAGACCCCTGCCCTATACAGAGCCAAGGAGCTTCAATTTTATCCAGGCTAGTTTTCTACACACACCCCTCTTTATCCTCCATCCAGACAAGCAAGAGATCAAGGCCAGGCAAAAACACTTGAGGTGTGAATCAGGGCCAGTGAGGGGGTGTGGCTTGGGGAGAGTTCTGAGGGCCAGACAGAGAGACCTGGAGGGCCGCATTTGAAACCCTCCCCTCCAAACCTCAGGTTCTCTACCCCTGGACTAAATGGCCTACAAGACTCCTTCTAACTCTGTCATTCTAGGGCTGCAATCTAAGAAAAGGTATCTGTTGTTGTTGCTGCTGATGTTCACCCGCCCTTTACCATACAGTCCTAGGACAGGTGACAGCAATTTAAAAATGCCAGTGTCGAAGGCCTATGTCAGAAACTGTCTCCTGAAGATGCTGGACAAGGGAGGGAGGCAGTTGCACAACTTCCTCTGGCTGTGAGGAATGATCTCCACTGAGGGATTGTGGTTCTTAGTGCTTGGGGGAAAGGGGAATGTTGCCCCCCCCCCCACAACCACGGTCTTAGTCCCAGTCCTGGGTGTGTGAGCTTATAAGGAAGTAAAATGCCACTAAGCATGTTGGCTGCTGACATTCTCGCCCCAAAAGTCCACCTTCCTTCTCTCCTCTCCTCTCGCCAGCCTTCTGCGCCGTCTTGCAAGGCAGCCTCTTTGGGCAACTGGGATCCTTCCCCCAAAGCTACAGCACTCTCTTCCTGAGCGGCCAAGGAATGGCTGGGACCTTCGCAGCCACCGCCATGTTGCTCTCCATGGCCAGTGAGTATTGTGAGGAAGACAAGGAGTGTTTGGTCTGGAGAGCAAGTCCTCTGAAGACCTACTGGGAAAGTGGGGGGCTGTTTGCATGGAGAAGAGAAGATCAAGGAGGCCGGGGTGTGTGTGTGGAGGAGAACCACCTTCAAATATCTGAAAGGGGTGTTGCGTGGAAAATGGCGGCAACCTGCTCTCCGTTGCTCCAGAGGGTCAGTTTAGAACCAAACAGTGGAAATCGCAGGGAAGCAGATTTCTGCTGAACATTAAGACAGAGGTGAGGAATGTCCAGCCTTTCTGTGCCCCTACCTGTGGGGCAGGTAAAGACATGGACGGGTCAGGTTTACAGCTGACCACCAGGGCTTCGGAGTGCCCTGCAGGGTGTTTGCAAGCATCAACATTCAGCTGACCATTGGCCCTTTTCAGAGAGCAACATGCGACACTCTGATGGCTCCCTCAGTTCTGTGCAAGCCCTGATGACCAGCTGATGGTTGCTGCTTGCAGTGAGCCCCAGAGGGTGCCTTGAAACCCAATAATCAGCTGATTTGTTGGCACTTCAAAGGGACACATGCTGCACTGGACCAAAAGCAGGTCACCTGATGTCGTTGTGGCATCAGGTGATTGACAGCTGGGCGTCCCCACCTCTCCACCTGTCAAACTTGATCTACAGGGGTGGGGGAGAAAACAGTAAGAGGCACCCAGGCGTGCAGCAGGCTGCCTCAGGAAGTGGTGGGCCCCCTTTCAGGAGAGGCATTTTTAATAACAGCCACTTCAGATTGCCTGCCTTTGGCTTATTAATGTGGAGCGCCCAGGTGGTCTGAGGCGGAGCTGGTTTGTTGCCCTCCAAAATACCACTTATATTTTATTTATCATCCATTACATTTATGTCCCACCTTTTATCTTCCAAGGATCTCAAAGGGGCTTAAATGCTTCTCCTCCTCCTCAGTATGCCTCACCCTTCTGAGCCCCCGTGCCTGTTCATTCCTGCCCAAAGCATACATGCATTCCTTAGGCCCAATGTGAAGTCCCCACTCCGCCCCCAACTGCCCCTTTCTCTGTAGGCTTCTCACTTCTTCATCTCTCTTCCCCACCTCTTTCTTCATTCAGGCCTTTGCCTCTTCCAGGAACAAGAAGAAAGGACCTCTGAGGTGCACCAAGTTCTAATTCGTTGGTGTTTTGAATACAACCTGCATCGCGGGGGGGAAACGCAGCAATGCTCTGTGTTTTTCTGTGCGCTCTGCTGCGATGTGGCTGTGGCACCCCTTACCCACCCACCCCCAAGCTCAGTCTCATGGCTTGCCCAGCACTCCTGCCTTTAATTCCTCCTTCCTACTAACCCCTCTCCTGTCCCTCACCCCCTCCTATGTGAGAATTCCTTCCTCCTGCATACTGAGTTATCACTTCTCTTTCCCAAACTGCCCCCCACCCTTCTCCACGTTCTGTCTTGAGACATCTTCACCCCAAATATTTGTGAGCATTCCATGACATGACAAAAGCTCGACTGGTGACTGGTAGAGGTTCGGAGGTGATAAGACAGTGTTTAACTGTGGGCTTGTTTGTTTGCATTTATGCCAAGATGCATAGCAGGGTTGTGGGGAAGGAATACGATGCGAGTTCTAGCAACCTACTCCTCACCCCCACGGGCTGTGTCAAAGCCCTGTGAGTCCAGAAGGGTAGCCCAGAAAGCACTCTCCGTAGGCTGCCCATCCTCATCTCATCGTTCTCTGGCTTTTCAGGTGGCGTGGATGCTCAGACCTCCGCTTTGATCTATTTTGTCACCCCCTGTGTTGGGACCCTGATCTCGATCATCTGCTATATCTTGCTGCCCCACAAGGTGAGTCAAAGCCTTTTCTCCCGCACCCTGATTTTGCAAAATAAGAGGGAGCTCTTCCACTGGGTTTCAGGAGGGGAGGAAGAGATTTGTGAGCATTGGCATGGTCTAATCCACTTTAAAAAGCCAACTAGGCTAAAGCGATGTGGACAATCATGATCTCTTCCCCCTGCCACCCCCCCACACCATGTACAGTGGTACCCCGGGTTACTGACGCTTCAGGTTACAGATGCTTCAGCTTACATACTCCGCTAACCCAGAAATAGTACCTCGGGTTAAGAACTTTACCTCAGGATGAGAACAGAAATTGCGCTGCGGCAGCGGGAGGCCCCATTAGCTAAAGTGGTACCTCAGGTTAAGAACAGTTTCAGGTTAAGAACAGACCTCCAGAATGAATTAAGTTCTTAACCCGAGGTACCACTATGCACATCTCCTTATTTTCACCCGTTTTGTACAGCAGATAAACTGCTTTCAGGGCACTTACAGACTGACGCAATCTTTGAGTGGGATTCATTCTGACAAATTCAGGTTACACTATTAAAGTCAATTTGGCACTCCTGTGCAACAAACTCACTCCCCACCCCCCATAAAAATCTGACTTCTTCTTTTTGCATTGCAATGCAATGCTGTCTACCCCCACCCCACAAACAAATTAGAAATAAATAAATTGCCAGCTTTCTCTAACCTCCCCGCAAACTTTATGCAAACAAATCTGGGTTGCCTGGAAGTGAAGTCTATGAACGTGCTGTAACTTTATTCTCTCCCCCCCTCCCCCTGTTGGAGGCAGTATAGCAGGCCTCAGAGTACCAGCCACTGAGAATCACAAGTAGGGAGGCCACTGAGAAAACAGGATACTAGACTAGATGGGTCCCCCTTTGGCCTGATCCAGGAGGCTCATATTGTGTTCACAGCCTTATCAGCTTCCCTTGCAGAGGTGAGGGAAGGGGCGATGGAGGAATCTGATAACACCCTGCCATTTGCAACCACGGCTCCCTTTTTTCTCTGCAGGATTTTGCTCGCCACCACCTGCACAGGAGAGCCCAGGAAGAGCCAGGCTATGAGCTGGAGACCAAGGCGGGGCTTCTTTCCCCTGGTAAGCAGCCTCCCAAGGAGTGGGTCAGCCAGGCTCCCCCCTTGAGAGTTCTTCCCAAATTGTGGAACCAATTCACAAATTGTAGGGCAGGGTGGGGAAATGTTTGGCCCTCCAGAGGCTGTTAGACTCCCAACTCCCAGCAGCCCCAGCCAGCAAGACCAGGGATTAGGGATGATGGGAGTTGTAGTCCAGCAACCTCTAGAGCAGGCTTCCTCAACCTTGGCCCTCCATATGTTTTGAGATTCCGATTCCCATCATCCCTGACCACTGGTCCTGCTAGCTAGGGATCATGGGAGCTGTAAGCCAAAAACATCTGGAGAGCCAAGTTTGAGGAAGCCTGGGCTAGAGAGCTACACGTTGGCCACCCCAAGTGTACAGTTAAGTCTCCCTCTACCTGGCTGGCATCTAGACAGTTTAACTTTTTCGTAAACCGCTTTCAGTGTTTTGTTTTGTTTTGTTTTGTTTTGTTAATAATCAAGTGGTGTATAAATGTTACAAAGTGAATAAATAAATTGCAAGGTTTTTTTAAAAAAAACCCTCAAAGCTCAAATGATATTAATTATTATTATTATTATTATTATTATTATTATTATTATTCATTAAAGGTACATGGCAACCCAACAACAGAATTCCTGATGTAGTCATAAAAAACACCCCTCACTCAATACTAAAAAAAACCCCAAAATATAATAATATTGTAATTATTATTCGGAAACGGAAGCAATTACTTCTGGGTTTTCAGTGTTCGGGTTCCAAATCGTTAGGCTTCCGAGACACTCGAAAACTGAAGTTCTACTGTGTGTGTGTGTGTGTGTGTGTGTGTGTGGCAGAGTAGAAGGCGATTAGAGCCTGTAGGTCACCTGACTCTGCCACGTGCTGATTGGCTCCTTTTCTGTCCCGCCCCCAGAGGATGGCCTTGGCCCCGTGCCGGGTGCCACCCAAGGAGGAGAGCCGCTGAGCTTGAGCAATGGGATTGCCATCGCCCTGGAGCAAGAAGACTCAAAATGCCCCCTGGAGATTATGAACGGGAGCAATGGGGCAGGCCTGCCTCCCCCGAAACCGTCAGTCCTAGGTGTGCTCAGGAAGGTAGGTCCTGTGGCCAGAGGGGTGAAGTAACAGGAAACGTTAAGACTAGGATGGGTGGGGGAATAGTTTTAGCAAGGGTGCTGGTTTCGCCAGCACCCAACTCGCTCACATTGCTCTCTCTTCCTCTTCCTCCCGGTTATAGATTTGGCAGATGGCCCTCTGCATCGTCATGGTCTTCTCCATCACTCTGTCTGTGTTTCCCGCCATCACTGCCAGTGTCGCCAGCACGTCGGAGAACGAAACCTGGAGTGAGTAATGGGGGGATCCAATGGGGGTGGTGGAAGGATGAGGAGGGCCGGTCCCAGCTGGCTAGAGGCATTTGAGAGCTGGAGCCCCACAGAAAGGCCCACAGCTCAGCAGTAGTGCTGCCTTGCATGTAGAAGGCCCCAGGCTCAGAAGTCCCCAATGGCACTGCCATGGAGGGCTTGGAGAGACTCTTGTCTGAGGCCCTAGAGAGACACTGCCTTTGCAAAACAGACAGCAAGACTCTGCCTTTTCAGTAGTGAGTGGTGCCTGCCCTGTGGAACGCTCCCATCAGATGTCAAGGAAACTAACAACTACAGTGGTACCTTGGGTTACATACGCTTAAGGTTACATACGCTTCAGGTTACAGACTCTGCTAACCCAGAAATAGTGCTTCAGGTTAAGATCTTTGCTTCAGGATGAGAACAGAAATCGTGCTTCAGCGGCGCGGTGGCAGCAGGAGGCCCCGTTAGCTAAAGTGGTGCTTCAGGTTAAGAACAGTTTCAGGTTAAGAACAGACCTCTGGAACAAATTAAGTACTTAACCTGAGGTACCACTGTATCCGACTTTTAGAAGACATCTGAAGGCAGCCCTGTTTAGGGAAGTTTTAAAGTTTTTTTGAAAGCTGCCCAGAGTGGCTCCTGCCAGATGGGCAGGGTAGAAATAATAAATATATTATTATTATTATTATTATTATTATTATTATTATTATTATTATTATTATGGCAATTGCTTACCATCCTAGAAAGATGGCTGAGGCTCAGGGATGAAGCACTTACTTTGCTTGCAGAAGGGTTCCAACATCTCTAGTTAAAAAAGGATTGTGTAGGAATTTTCTCTGCCTCTGTCCCCAGAGAGCCACTGCCAGCCAAGAGTAGACAATATTGGGCTAGACCAGTGGTTCTCAAAGGGGTGTGGCAGGAGAGGCTGGCAAGTGTGGAGGGAAGAATCAAGGACACCTGGGCTTTGTTCACACCTGGCACATGAGAACTTCAGTTTTATTTATATTTAAAGAAGATTTGCGTACCACTTAATTGACAAAAACCCCTCTAAGCGGTTTACTGAAACTGTATAAAACATTTGTAAGGAAAATCCCAACAAAACCGAACTTTTTAAAAGCAGTAGACATAAAACATAAGTAAAACCAGATTTCTCAAAGCAAATCTAATTACAGGTTAGTGTTGCATTCATCTCCCTCCTATTTCTCTGTCTTTTTCTTATGCCTAGGGAAGTTCTTCACTCCTGTCTGCTGTTTTCTTCTGTTCAACGTCATGGACTGGCTGGGCCGCAGCGCTACCTCCTATTTCCTCTGGGTGAGTGTTGGTTTCTGAAGTGGGATTGGCTCCACGCTGTCCAAAAACAGTGTGACTGTTATCACTATCTCTGGATGAACTTCGGAGAGGCAGCAGTGTTAACCTCCCATAAGGAAAGCAGATAAGGCATGTGGCACCTACAAGGCTTTGATTTCAAGGAAAGCTTTTGTGGGCTTGAGCCACTAGGCTCAGGAAGCCTTATCTCACACTTGCCAGATTGTTATAGCAGGTGGAGACCACATGTGGCCACCAGGTCTCTCTGCCTGGTCCTTGGGACTCTCCCAAGGGTTTTGCTTGGACTGGATGCATCCTTGAACTCTTGCAATGACTCTTCCCTAGCCAGATGGAGGATGGAGTTGAGCATGCATAGAAACTAGCCTAGTGTAAGGCCTTGTCTTGTTGCCCTCCCGTCTTTTCGCATTTGAGCCCTGCCTGTGACTGGGCATGTGGCCCCCAAAAGGTTGCCCAGAAGGGATATGGACCTTGCTTGAAAAAAGTTCCTCGCCCATATAGGAATTATGCCCGATCCTAATCCTTCTACACCTTTTGAGGCTAGGCAAGGCTTTATTACCGATATTATTGCCTGTGTATCAAGACTATACTTGTTCGTATTTTTGAAGTTTAAAATAAGGGGTTGTCTTATACATGGATATGCACAGTGCATTTTCTTAATTTTGAGCCCCCCAAAATAGGGGGCTTCTTATTCACAGGGGTATGTTATACACGGAAAAATATGGTACTTAGACCAGTGTTTTTCAACCACTGTTCCGCGGCACACTAGTGTGCCGCGAGATGTTGCCTGGTGTGCCGTGGGAAAAATTGAAAAATTCGAAAGATTTAAAAATAAAGTATTTTACAATTTTTCATATTTCTGTTTACTTACTATTTCAGAATAAAGTAATTATAAACTACTTTCTTTGTGTTCATTTGATTCGTATTCAAGAGAATTACTTTATATATAGTCAATATAGGCACAGAGTTAATTTTTTTAACATTTTCTAATGGTGGTGTGCCGCGTGATTTTTTCCATGAAACAAGTGTGCCTTTGCCCAAAAAATGATGAAAAACACTGACTTAGACATCTTTTTTAAAAAAAAAAAAGATCAAGATGTTCTTAGGAAGTTAAAATAATGATCCGGAAAGAATTATGAAATAGAATAAATAAAAAGAAAGAGAAAGAAAGAAAATTCGGGTAGGTAGGTGGGTATGGAGGTTCACTGCCATCACGTCATAAAACGAGACCTTTGGACATTTATTAGGAAATAGGATAATGAAGCAGAGAACACTGCTTTTTGCTCTCCCCAGCCAGAGAAGCATCTTCGCCTGCTCCCTGCGGTGGTTGGGCTCCGCCTGCTGCTCGTCCCACTCCTGCTTCTGTGCAATGTCCCCCAGCGGGAATACCTGCCCATGCTCTTCCGCCAGGATGCCTGGTTCGTCCTCTTCATGGTCGTCTTCTCCCTCTCCAATGGCTACTTCGTCTCCCTCACCATGTGCCTGGCGCCAAAGTGAGTGTGCTCTGAGCGACGTCGCCCCTCCTGAAACATGCAAAAGCAGCACTATGAACAAGGGGGTGTCTGCAAGAGTGGATCGCTTGTTCTCTTTACAGTGGTACCTCGGGTTACAGACGCTTCAGGTTACAGACGCTTCAGGTTACAGACTCTGCTAACCCAGAAATAGTACCTCAGGTTAAGAACATTGCTTCAGGATGAGAACAGAAATAGTGCTCCAGCAGTGCAGCAGCAGCAGGAGGCCCCATTAACTAAAGTGGTGCTTCAGGTTAAGAACAGTTTCAGGTTAAGAACAGACCTCCGGAGCGAAATAAGTTCTTAACCCAAGGTACCACTGCATTTATTTCGCATTGGGGCATTGGCACCGTGTTGGCAGCCCCTGGTCTGCACTAACCAGCAGTGGCTCTCCAAGGTTTCAGACAAGGGAAGTCTTGCCAAGCCCTACCTGGCAAAGCCGGGGATGTTGAACCAGGGACTTTCTCCATGCAAGGCTCCCTGAGCCACCGCCATTCTCGAAAAACGGGTAAAAATGCCATCTCCCCTGAATTCCAGGTGTGAACAGCAGGCCCTCAAATTATTCTGATTTTTGTTGTGCTCCTCTTAGGCCACACCACACACTTAAAGCACTCTCTTATACCACTTTAATAGCCAATGAGTCCTGGGAAATGTAGTTTATACAGGGTGCAAGGGGTTGGACTAGATGACCCTCGGGGGTCCCTTCCAACTCTATGATTCTATGTAGCAGTGACCCACACATTTTGGCACCCTCTGAACGGCAGAAGCTTCCCAACATGCCCTGTGAGTGTTCTGCGTAGGACATAAAGCTTAAGACACTTTTGTGATCTTCTTTGAGAACAAAGTAATTGAAATTGAGTTTTAAAAAGTTGTATTTAAAGGCCGTTCATAATTGGAGGCTGCAAACTGCAGCTTCCATGTGCATAAATCCAGCCCTGGTTTCCTCTCTGGGTTGGGCAAAGAGGAAGGGCCTTTCCCACGGGTGTAGCCAGGATTTATGTTATAGGGGGGCAGGCTTTACGTTGGGGTGGCAGAACCAAGTTATCTGAGATGCAGTTGGTCAGTTGGTTATTTTTATTTATTTACTTGATTTGTGGAGCAAATACCCACCCCCCTCACCCCTTGGCTTTGCCCATGGCCTTTTCTGCCAGATTATAAATTGTCTTCTCTGTTTCCGCCCCCAGACAGGTGCAACCACATGAGAGCGAATTGGCAGGAGCCATCATGACGTTTTTCCTGGCGTTGGGTCTCTCTTGTGGAGCTGGGCTGTCCTTCATCCTCAAGGCCTTGCTCTGATGTCCAGGACTTGCTGGACCTCGGCAACAGCAAAGCATCTGCCTTGAAGACTTGAGGAGAGGCTGGTTGCCCTTCTCTCCCTCCCAGGCGTGCCCTCTGTGTAGCAGCTAATATCCTTCTGGGTAGCAAAGTGAGCTTCTGCCACCATCTTCCAACAAAGGGAACTGCTCTTTTTGGTTTTTCTTTCCTGTATATGCATAAGTTCACGTTCGCTCAGCTACCCTTTTAAATCCCCAGGAGCCTGAATGTATTTTTTTTTAAAGACTCTTGGACTTTTCTGAAAGATTCCTGGATTTTTACCAAGCCAAGGGAAGGCTGTGGTACAGAGGGGGCGTTTGCAAGCCCCTTTCCTACATCCCTGGAGGTGGAGGAGTCGCTCTGCCTCTCCCACTTGTGCCTGGCTGAGGACGCACAACAAAGGGGGATTTTGCAATATCCTCACACGTATTCTTGCTCTCCCTTTGCTTTCAACTTGAGGAAGTATTGTTGCATAATACACGTTTGCTCTACGGAACATCCTCCTGGAGGGTGACGGTAGGTAAGGAAGGGAGAAGTCTGTATCCAATGGGGTTGGGTTTGTTGCTTCCATCTCAAATTAGCAATATAGGGCAAGCTCTCTGCTCTCCCCACCCACCCACTGGCCGGTTTATGGTTTTGTTTTCTCAGCTTGCATTGCCTCAAACTTGTCTGCTTAAACTTGTTGTCGTCCGATAAAGAGGTCCGCAAGATGTCAGACACTGCTTTCCAGAGGGGTCCGTCCTCCAGCCTCCCCAACCGGGTGTTCCCTATATATTTTGGGACAAACAGCCCCAACCATCACTTCCTGTAGCCCAAACCATCTGGAAGACTGGTGGTGGAGGCTCTGCAAAAAGAGGCATAGGATTGCTGAGAAATAATATCATGTGTAGCCTCTTTAAACTAGGCCGCCAGATTTGGCATCTGACCAAGATTCTCTTCAGGCCAAAGCAGCCTCATTTAGGCTGGCAGGGCTAAGCTCAAAGCAGGGTTAGGCCCCCGCTGTTCAGCCTGAAGCAGCTGCTTTCCTAAGCTAGCCTGTTTCCCTCCGGTATGTGATGGAGGACACTGCCAGTGTTTTGTTTTTGTTTTTTCGTGTTTTTTTAATGTATTTAGTGTTGAGGTAAGATCCAGAGATGCTGGGGACTGAACCTGGGACCTCTCGCATGTAAGGTGGGTGTTCTTTCACCGAGTGACGTGTTGGCCACCAACTTAGACAACTTTGAAAGGGAATTAGACAAATTCATAGAAGAGTATAAATTCTATAAATTCATAGAAGAGTATAACTTCTATGAAGTTATCCTTCATAGAAGGATAACTTCATAGAAGTTATTGATCCTTCGATCAATAGCTGCTAGTCATGGTGGTGACAGGATACCTCCAGGATTTCGGCCAGCATCTCTTCTGGCTGATCCTCACCTGCTCACACCTGAGCCGCTCTGTTTCCATCTTCCACCATTACAGCTGGACATGCATTTAGTTTCTTCTTGCAGAGCTTGCTCAGGACTTCCGCACAGTAGCTAAATGGGGCACTTTGGTCCAAAAATTCATTGGAGACCTTCCAGAAATTTGAACATAAGAAGAGAACTCTATAGCTGGATCAGGCCAGTGGCCTGTCTAATCCAGGATCTTGGACTCACAGTGGCCAACCAGATGTCCCAATGGGAAGTCAGGCCTCTTTGTACGGAATCTCTTTACAATGAGCTACCCTAATATACAATCCCAACCTTTAATTCACAGAGGCATTTAACGTGTGCCATTTTACAGAACACACACACCGTCCTTCTCAGTTGCAGCATGGATGCAGCCGTGGAAGCCATGTCCTATTTTGCAGCAGACTGGAAGCTTGAATTATTATTTTTTTATGGAGAAGGGCTAGCAGAATTCTCAGGTGTCCTGATTGTAAAACTGAAAAGGGCAGCTCCGTATGGGAAGGGCTAGACTTCCCCTCATACTGGAGCAAAGTCTAGAAAACTGTGGTTCTGTCCCACAAACCCTGTCCAACCTCCTCGGCTCTCCAGTAGGACACCCCTCCCAGGCCACCTTCTTCTGGCCATGTGACGCTTGAAAGAGGCTTGCTTTGTATATAACATGCGAAGGGTGATGAGAGTAAAAAGGAAGTACATCTGGAGAAAAGGAGAGAACGATGAGCCACGGCCCATCAGAATCTTGAGGTTTCAATGTACTGGAATTTGGGTGGGGGGTTTATTTCGTTTTTAAAGGGGAGGAAATGCAAGTATAAACCTCCTGCACTTGCTCAGCAGTCGCAAATTGTTGTTGTTGTTTAGTTGTTTAGCCGTGTCCGACTCTTCGTGACCCCATGGACCAGAGCACGCCAGGCACTCCTGTCTTCCCCTGCCTCCCGTAGCTTGGTCAGACTCATGCTGGTAGCTTCGAGAACACTGTCCAACCACCTCGTCCTCTGACGTCCCTTTCTCCTTGTGCCCTCAATCTTTCCCAACATCAGGGTCTTTTCCAGGGAGTCTTCTCTTCTCATGAGGTGGTCAAAGTATTGGCGCCTCAGCTTCATGATCTGTCCTTCCAGTGAGCACTCAGGGCTGATTTCCTTAAGAATGGATAGGTTTGATCTTCTTGCAGTCCATGGGACTCTCAAGAGTCTCCTCCAGCACCATAATTCAAAAGCATCAATTCTTCGGTGATCAGCCTTCTTTATGGTCCAGCTCTCACTTCCATACATCGCTTTAACTATACCTACCTTTGTTGGCAAGGTGATGTCTCTGCTTTTTAAGATGCAGTCGCAAATGCTTCTCTGAAAGGAATAAGGAGACAAGTTGCAGGGAGTAGTAGAGAAGTGAGGAAACCGTGATCCTCCTGATGTAGTTAGACTTGAACCCCCATCAGCCCCAGCAAACATTAGTCTGGGAGGATGGGATCTAGAAACATCTGGGGGGTTTGCACAGATTCCCTGCTCCTGGACTAATACATTAAATTATCATTTGCCTACTGGTATGGCTGGGAAATGGTGTAATTTGGCCAAAGGAGGGGGCTCAGGGGGATGAAAATCTGCCAAAGGTTCTACAAACATCTAAGAACAGGGAAGCAGTGGCATGTAGCAGAGGGCCTCCCATCTGAATGTACCTGATCCAATAGCTCCCATGGAATATCCTCAGCTATTAAACACAGTCTAAGGGCTCTAGGTATCCTTTTTATTGTGCAGTTATGATTGGTGCTTATGACGGTATCAGGGCAGTTATGTGCAATCCCGCTTTCAGTGCGCCTGCAAAAAGTTTCAGAATGGACATGCAGATTCATTTCTCATCAGCACATGTCCCATAGCTTCTTGCTGAAATCCTGTAACTTTTCATACTACAGACGTTCCAGGATGTTTTCCACACCACTTTTACTGCGCTATATAGCACAAGAGTGCCCCTCCCGACATCAGTCAAGGGGTAACATTGAGGAAGTTCAGCAGAACACCCAATAAAGTGAAATGATGTGGGGACAGCCCAGAATAAATCCACCATGAATGCACAAATATTGTGTCAGTGATATGTTGCTGAATGTATCTGCAAAAAGTACAGTCTGGGGGGTACCCCACGGCTAGGGCCAGATATTGCCTTATAGGATTGTGGAATTGTAGAGCTGGAAGGGACCTAAAATGTCATCTAATCCAACCCCCTGCACTGCAGGAAAAGGCAAGACACAACGATGGTTTATTCACTGTGATTGCAATATTCATTATGGTACATTTGAATGGTTTCAGTCTTGTTGCCTATTTAAGCAATATATATTTAAGTGTGTTTCATTGTAAACAGAGACTTGCTCTCAATACTTACTGGCATTATAACTAACTTTATTAAGGATCAAAGGGCAATGGGAAAATTGTGTTTACTGTATTTTTAACGACTCAATTTATTTTAAGGTTTGTGCGAAGGACATTTTATCAGATCCTGTGCGTGATTGTTTTAAATGAATTCAGAGCTCAAACATTTTTATTTTTTAAAGAATATTTTTGCTGCATGTACAAGGTTGAACTATTGTCATTACCCTGGAGGGGTTCTGGTTTGTTTATCATTCCCCAACCCCCAATAAAGCTTTTTTTTAATAAAAAAAATGATTGCCTGGAATCCTGAACAGCATCCCACTACACTGCAACATTTTGTTCCAGGTCCCACTTATCTTTTGGAAACTATTGTAGTGGTCACCACATCTTCTTGTGGCAATGAGTCCCCCGTGCATTGTGCAAATGGCAGAAATAAAAATATAACAATGACACAAATAATTGTCTCCAGGGCAAAAATCCTAGCAGATCCTAGCCTAGAGCATATGAGGGGTAACCTGTAGCTGTCCAGATATTGATGGACTACCATTCCCATAATCCCTCACTGATGGGATTTGGGCGTCCAGCAACAATTACTGTAATTTTGAGTAATTTCACAATTAGAAGCAAGTCAAGAAACAAAAATTGGGGGGGGGATGAAACTAATAAAGCATTTTTTATGACCACCCCACAAACCAAATCCTTGATATACCGGTACTTGTCTTTATGAATAATACTTTGGTCATTTTTCTAATTCAGTTACCCTTTTGATTCAATTTACAAGAGAAGATCACAGTTCCTTGTACTCTAAACTAAAGCCTCCTATTAAGAATGGTTATTAAATTGTGTGATGCATTTTGAAGGGCCTTAGTTCTTGTAAAGCACCTGAGAAGGAACTGCCCTTTGCACACATCTTTGACAGAGCTAGGGTGCCAATCCCACTTTTATCTGGGAGTAAGACCCATTGAATTCAGCGGGGATTATTATTTCTGAATAGACAATCTATGAGATTTTCAGTAGGAGTAAAATATTTACCTGGAGGGGTTCACTTTTGAATGCCCCCCCAAACTCGTTTCCAACTCCACAAGGAATCCCCATGAATTCAGTTACCCTTTGTTGGGTGTTCCCTCCTATTAAGTGAAAGTTGCCCTTTATGTGGGTGTCTCTTCCCTAGACTCTTTCAAAGAGAGGAATTTCCGGTTACAGGCCAGGGGGGAAACCACCTTGCAGAGTGTGGGCTTGATAAACAGAATTCCCTTTAAACTCAAAAGGGGAGAGGGTCGATGCCGACGAGGATGGGATTCGAACCCACGCGTGCAGAACACAATGGATTAGCAGTCCATCGCCTTAACCACTCGGCCACCTCGTCACACAGAACAAATGTTCCTCTTCCCACTAGATCCCTTAGTCCGCTTCCGGACGATCTGTTTGCTCATTTCCCAACTCTCCCCTGTGCACTGCACTTTATCCATGCATTCCCACACATTTCCTATTAAGCAAAATAATACTAATAATAAATGGCAGATGATTATGACGACGACGACGATAATAATAATAATAATAATAGAAAAACACGCACGCACGTCTTAGTGCGGCGTGTGCGAGAGAGGGGGGCGATGCACCTGCCTTGCTTTGCAAAACAAGGGGGAGAGCAGTGCAAAAGAGGGAGGGGGGTCGCACCTGCCTGATGGCCTGCGCGTGTTTTTGCAATGCATCCTCCAAGGAAGAAGAGGGCGCCGAGGAGAGCTCGCTCCTCCCGCCCCCAGACGTGAAACTGTTTGCAAGAGCCGCCGGGCACCCGCCTGGGAAGCAGCCTGAGCAGCCGCGGGGAAGGATGCACGGTGTGGGGCCTGGCTTCTCCGCGCGCTCCCTCCAGGCTGGCCTCCGGTGAGGTCGGGCGAGGAGGAGGGGCAGGCGAGCGGGGCGGCGGCGCGGATGGCCCGTCGCTGAGGCTGCCGCCCATGCACTGCTCCTGCTTCCAGGCGCTGGTGGCGGCGCTGGCGCTGGTGGCCGGCTTGCAGCTGCTCTACTTGGCGCTGCTGTCGGGGCTGCACGGCCAAGAGCAGCGCTCCCGCTATGCCGAGCTCTTCCAGGGCCGACGGGCGCCGACGGCCCGCGACGCCCACAAGGAGCGCCTCAAGCAGGTGCTGGCCAGCGGCGGCGCCCTGGACGCCAGCGGCCAGTACCGCGTGTATCGGGACATGGTGCGCGGATCCTGGGAGGGCGAGCGCAGCCCCGACGTGGTGCTGGTCACGCACACCAGCCTGGGCAACCTGCACCACGCGCAGCGCCTGGCCGAGCGCTGGCGGGGGCCCATGTCGGTGGCCCTCTTCGCGCCGGGCGCCGCCGAGGTGCGCTTGGCCACGGCGCTGGTGTACGCGCTGGCCGCCCTGTGCGCGCCCGTCCGCCAGCTGGTGCGCCTCCACCTGGTGTGCCACGCCGACCAAGCGGCCTCTTTCCCGGAGCTGCCGGACCGCGGCGAGTTCTCCCGCCTGCAGGCCTGCGGGGATGTGTTCGCCAAGCTGGCGCGGGTAGCCGCGGGCCGGCGCAATTACGCGCTGGACGCCGCCAACGCCTCGTACCCGAACAACCTGCTGCGCAACGTGGCTCGGGGAGCCGTCGGCGGGCACTGGATGCTGGCGGTGGACATGGACATGGTGCCCAGCGAGGGGCTGCGGGAGGACTTCTTGGCTTTGCCCGGAACTGCCGCCGAGGAAACGCCGGGGGTCTTCGTTGTGCCGGCTTTCGAGATCCGCCACACCCGTCGGATCCCGGGCACCAAGACGGAGCTGCTGCAGCTGTACCAAGTGGGCGAGATCCGGCCGTTCTATGAGGAGCTGTGCCCGCGGTGCCAGGCGCCCACCAACTACTCCCACTGGCTGAATCTCCCCGTCGGAGGCCCCCTGCGCGTGGCCTACGAGGTGGAGTGGCGGGACCCCTGGGAGCCCTTCTACATCGGGGCTAGTTCTGTGCCCCCCTACGATGAGCGCTTCAAGCAGTATGGCTTCAACCGGATCAGCCAGGTAGCTGCCTTGGGGGGGGCGGGTCATGACTTGGGGCAGTATTGAAGGCACATGGCCTCCCTGCAAATAATATTGGGAATTGTAGCTTACCCCTTAATCGTTCTCAGCACCCTTAACAAACCACAGTTCCTAGGATTATTTTGGGGAAAGCCATGTGTTTAGTGTGCTTTGGTGGTATAGTGCAAATGCAGCCTTTATTGGTGGAAAGGCCAAGCCAGGTACTGTAGTGGGAAAGCTCCAATTGAGCCAAGAGGTGGGGAGCCTAATATGAGGTGTAGGGAATGTTTTTTTTTCCAACTCAAGGACCACATTTGCTTCTGGTCAGCCATCTGGGGCCATATGTCAGCAGTGGGTGGAACCAGAGACAAAAGCAGGTGAAGCAACAGGTGTACATTTTACCTTTGTGTGGTAGGCTAGTTTCTACAGCCACATCCCTCTCTCCCCTCCATCCAGGTGGGCAAGAGTCATGCCTTCAAGAACACATTCCAGACAGGCAGAAACACTCAACAAGGAGGGGGTGGAGCAAGGAGAGGGTGGGGGTGTGGCCTGTTGAGAGCAGGGCAGGGGGTGGCCAAGGAGGTAGAGCCTGGGCAGAGGACCAGATAGGGAGGCTTGACTCCCAGACCTGAGATTCCCCATTTTTGCCTTACATTTTACCTGTGCCCATTGGGCTAAAACACCTACTCATCATTACCACTGGTCATGCTTGTTGGTGTGCTGCTGTAGGGACAGAGTCTCTATCCTTGGAAACTGCCCCACACCTAACATCATATATGACTATCAGGTTTAGGTCAGGTGAGCATAGCTTGCCCAGAATGGCTTTACAGGTCAAATGAGGGGCTTAAAGGTAAAGGTACCCCTGCCCATACGGGCCAGTCTTGACAGACTCTGGGGTTGTGCGCCCATCTCACTCAAGAGGCCGGGGGCCAGCGCTGTCCGGAGACACTTCCGGGTCACGTGGCCAGCGTGACAAAGCTGCATCTGGCGAGCCAGCACAGCACACGGAACGCCGTTTACCTTCCCGCTCGAAAGCGGTCCCTATTTATCTACTTGCACCCGGAGGTGCTTTCGAACTGCTAGGTTGGCAGGCGCTGGGACCGAGCAGCGGGAGCGCACCCCGCCGCGGGGATTCGAACCGCCGACCTTTCAATCGGCAAGCCCTAGGCACTGAGGGTTTTACCCACAGCGCCACCCGCGTCCAAAAATGAGGGGCTTCTGTCACTATAAATAACCCAGAGGTATTTTGAGGTGCAGTTATTCTTGCATGTTCTAGGTTTTTGGTGGTGGGCTGCCGTCCTTACACTGTCCTTTTCCGCCAGGCCTGTGAGCTCCACGTGGCTGGGTACCGTTTCTCTGTGCTGAGCAATGCCTTCCTGGTCCACAAGGGCTTCAAGGTGGCAAGCGAGTTCCACGCACAAAAGGATGCCGAGAATCAACGCAACAAGCTACTCTTCCGGCAGTTCAAGCAGGAGCTCAAGACCAGATACCCCAGTTCACCACGACGGTGCTGACCTCACGTCTACCTTTGTGGAAATAGAGCGGAGCCTCTTAGCTGGACAGCGAGGGGAGCATAGTTGCACACTGTCACAACAGAAATGTCTGACTCAGGATGAGAACCACTCCTTTGCCAATTGGAGGGAGGGAAAGGGCATAGTGACTCGCTGACCTGTTCGCTCCAAATGTGTTTGTTGCTGCTAGAAGTATTTGTGCTTCATTTTGGGGGGAATTTGTGTATGCACATACATACACACACTGAGACCCCTTCAGGTAGGAGAATACCCCCATTGAGTGCTCTCTCTGTGTGTGTAGTTTAAAAATAATAATATGGGGGTTTGCCTCAATCTCACAGACATCTCAAGGGTTGATTCAGAAGGTCAAACTTGTTGAAGGTGAATTGCCAATCCCAGCCAAAAAACTTGGAAGTCTTATTGGCTCACCTCCCAGTTAGTTCACTTCTGGGGTGAGCGATGATGGGGAATCTGATAAGGATGGGGAACCTGAGGCTCTCCAGGTGTTATTGGACTCCAGCTGCCTTCAGGGAACATGGCCAGTAGTCAGAGATGGTAGGAGTTGTAGTCCAACCATCGTTGGTGTAAACACTAGCAGGTTGCCTTTGATGGGTGTTCATAATTTTACACAGAGAAACACAGTGACCTGCGGGATTATTCAAAATAGTAGAGCTAGCCCACTCTGCCATTTTTTAATTCCTGTAGATGGTGGGTTGTTTTCTTAGTAAACAAATTCAGAGATAATAACTTTGGGATAACAACCATTCAATCTGGATTCTGTGGACAATCCTGCAATCCTATTATTTCTACTTGTCCCCAGTGCTTACAGACATGAAGCTCTGGGATTTGAGATATGGTGATTTGGAGCAGAGAAACAGAACCGTGAGCCAAGATTATTGGGCCCTGCACCCAATGTTGCTTCTCAGATTGGTGACCCCCATTTCCTTTTCTGTATAATGGGAATAAATATACTGACATCTGTCCTGGGAACGGGGCGGAGGAGCTTAATTTATTGCTGTCCTGAACAATCACAGTCTGTAAATGAATTAAACTGAACCAGTTTGATTTAAAACGCTTTAGCCCTATCAACTTTGTGACAAGCATTCCAACAGAATGTATTTCTGGAAATTGATTGGGGAGGATGGAGGTGTGGGGAGAAACACATTTTAATGAAAGATTGTCCTCAAAGGTGGATCAGGGCATTTTGGAATGAGAAATCCAAAGAGTACTGCCCCCACCTCTCCACTGAAGATCCACAACTCACTGCAAAGTCCTCTCCAGCCTCACTGAAATGAACATTAATTACTGAGCACCCATATCAGAGAGCCTCACTTTTAAGCTTGAAGCCTGGCATCTTTTGTTTTAGAAATTAAGCTCAGGGTATGCATGCACTACACAACCAAATGCTATGACTGGATGTCACTCAAACATCGCAAGTGCTCTGGGACTGCAAACAATCATCACATGCCTTCCAACATTTGTTAAATAGCACTTTTCTCACTTTTATCTGGAGCAATTAATAGTAATAATTTGTCTAAATTATTATAATAACAGAAGGTATTTAAGTTCAAGTGCTTTGGTACCAAACTGAATCCCACCATAATAATATTTGGATGATCCATCTCTAATTTGGGCTACATAAATATTTTTTTTAAGCACTGTAAGGATTAGAGGAAGATACATTCATTCAAAGTCACATTGTAACAACTCTTTCTTTTCTGACTTGCTATGCGGTTAGCTACACAAAAAATGGACCTCTTTTCCGTGGAGACAGTGAATAATTAGAAATCTGCATGCCCCCAAATCTTGCTGTGGCAGCCCTATAGCCCTGACTGCATTATGGCATGTGTCAGTGCTGTCATTATTATGCTTGGTTATAATCTATTTCTATTATAAAAAAAACAAGATGTGGATGTCAGAATGTGTTGCTTAGGTTTATAGCCTACTTTATTGGGTGTGCTATGTTAGGGGGGGCTTTAATAGCGGTAAGCAACAGGACATGGTGTGATGTCATTGATTTGCTGTGCTGTCATAGTGTTTATAACTTTATTTTTTAAAAAAACAAAACTCCCCAAACACCCAATGGTTTTCAGCCAGTAAATTTGACAAGAAGGTAACAATCCAGTATGGTGTAATGGTTAGAATGTCACACTAGAATTAGGCAAATTGGGTTTGAAAATCTGCTGATCTCCAAAGTTCCCAGGGTGATAGATGAACCTAATCTACTTCACAAGGTTTTTTGTGACAACAGAAATGCAGGACGACAAAAAGCCCCAAACAACCAGGTATGCCTTCAGCTCCTTGGTCAAAGCGTGGGGTACAAATGCCAATCTTTTCTTCTTCTTTTTAAGCATCAGAGGGTGTGTGGGTGGGCAGTAGGAAGATAATGGCAGTCTCCATGGCAACAACAGTACTGGCTGGCATGGCAACCACCACCTTTCTACTAATTTTGTAGTGAGGCTTCAAGCCAAAATTTGCCTCTTGGCTCCCCACCCACCCTAGCTCTTATTTTTCCTAGTTCTATATTTCAACTTAGCCACAGTACTAACTATTGTAAATGTGAGCATATATTTAGGATGCACTCAAATGAGCATATATACATGGGAACGAACCCTTCCCAGGGAGGACGGTTGGTTTTCTTTTTAATTACTTTTTCACTGTATGGTTTTATTTTGCTATGAAAACTTCCACACCATTTTGTAGGCACACAGAGAGCACATTTTCACTCCCCTTCGCTTCTTTCGTTTTTCTTTATTATCTCGTTACTACGGCAACGCATACCCTTCCGCTTCCGGATTCCCATAGTGCTTCGCAGAACCATAGAGCTTGACCGCGACGCAGCACCATAGACGAGTGTAGGGTACTTACAAAATGCCAGCCGCTGTGATTGGTTAGCGTTGGTGGGCGGGGCCGAATGAGGACGACTTCCGATTGCTGAAGAAATCCAGAGCGGGGTTTGCGCCTTCCTCAGCCCCTCCCCCAGGTAATGAGGGGTCCAGACTTTCCCTATTACCCCCCTTTTGTGGGTAATGATGGTCCCGCCCATTCCAGCCTTATGCGTTTCCCCCGCTTTGAGAGAAGGGGGAATACATGGGCCAGCACACTACAACCCGGGGACGGGGGTGTTCGCATATGACCGATTTTTCCCTCTTAAGTTCAGTGTTACATGTGCGACATAGGGGAGAAAATGCTTCTCTTTGCCCTTTTCTTGGAAGTGCTCGGCAATCCTCCCCTAAAATGACATCCATTCGGGCACAAGCTTGAGTCTGTTGTAATATGGGGGTAGGGTTTGCTATATTTATGTGCCCCCCGCAGTCCTTCTGTTGGATTGTTCTTACCAAGCAAATGCTATCGGGGTGCGGGAAAGACCATTAGATATGGCGGGGGTGGTGGTGTCGGGGCTCGTATGTCTGCTTTGCCAAATGGTGCCTTTCACTGCAAAGGAGGAAGAAGCAGCGCTTGCAGGATCGTCTCGGGATTTCCTAAGAGAACCGTGAGAAAGAGACACACGCACAACCCTTCCAAAAGCCACCTTAAAATAACTACCAGTGACCTCTAGCTGGGCGGTGAACTGCACACAAGATGGAGGGATAAAGGGCTCTGGGAGGAGGAATAAGTTGTGACTTGAAAAGCTGCCTGAAGAGGCAGACATTCAAGAGGTGCAGCTCCCCTTCCTTCCTCTCTCTCACTCTCGCCCCACAAACCAGTCATATCCAGTCGTCACTGCTTGGGAAAGATAGATGTGCTGATTTTCCTGTCCTCTACCATGCAGTGGCTGACATTGATTTCGGCTACAGTCCTATGCATGTTAACTCAGACCCCAGCCCCACGGAGTTCAGTGGGGTTTACTCCCAGGCACTTGTGGCTTGGAGTGCAGCCCCAGTGGCCTCTTTCTTCCCCTTTAAAGCCTGGCTGGGGAATTTGCCCTTCCAACTATACCTGTTATCTCTGACCACTGCCCATTGCTGGTTGGGACTAATGGGAGTTGGCACCTAACAGCACCTGGTCTCTTATTCTTGATTTAAAAGAAGCCCTTGTTTCCTGTCTCACAGGGGCCCTCATAGCACTTATAAAAAAAAGTGTCGGGAGAGTTCCTGGAGCAAATGGTGGGCGTTGCACGCAGGTTCAGTCCCAGGTTCAGTCCTCGGCATCTCCAGGATAGTCAATGAAAGGGAAAGCGCTTTTCATGGGAACCAGCACTGGTCAAAGGCAACTGGGCTTGGCTAGATGGCCAAAATGTTTGACCTGGGGTCAGGCAGCTAGCTTTCTATGTTCCCAGTATAGGGGAAAGAGGTCCCAAGGCAGAGCTGGGGAACTTGTGGCACTTCAGACATTTGCTTGACTCATACTCCCATCACCCCTGACCTTTGGCCATGCTGCCTGAGGCTGATGGGAGTTGGAGTCTGGCAGTGTCCTGAGGGCCAAAAGTTCCCCACCCCTGTCCTAAGGAAGGGAACTCCTGATTGCACGTTTCATTTATCAGGCATAGGCAAACTCGGCCCTCCAGATGTCAGTTCCCATCATCCCTGACCACCAGCCCTGTTAGCTAGGGATGATGGGAGTTGTAGTCCCAAAACATCTGGCGTGCTGAGTTTGCCTATGCCTGATTTAACTCCTCTGAAGGAGCCGTGTGTTAGCAAGGTGCTGATGGCTGAGGATTCTGGAGGGTGAGAAAGGAGGGAGTGGTTATGGGCAAAGACGCAGAAGCCGGAACCCCTGGCTGCCTTCATAACTGCCCCTAATTTGTCATTCAGCAGCAAAATTGGCCTTTGAATACGAGTTGCTGGGAATCACAGGTAGGGAGAGGGCTGTTGCACTTAGGTCTTGCTTGCGGGCTTCTTACAATGGGCATCTAGTTGGCCCCTGTGAGAACAGAGTACTAGACTAGAATAGCCTTTGGCCTCATCCAACAGAGCTCTTCTTGTGTTCTTATGAGATAAAGAGCTGAGAGAGGAGGGGAGCTAGCCCTCCATCTTTAAGAATATATGAAGAGGTGGCTGGATCAAACCAATGGCCCACCTAGTCTAGCATCCTGTTCCCACATTGGTCAGCCAGAGGCCCATGGGAAACCTGAAGGCAGGACCCAACCACAACAGCACCCCCTCCCCACTTGTGATTCCCAGCAACGGATATACAGAGCCATGCTGGATCCAATAGTGGAGGTAGAACATAGACACCATGGCTCTTTATATTTTCTCTCCATGCTTCTCAATGGGCAAAGCGTTTGATGAATGTAACCTGCAGCCAGGTTCTTAGGTTCTCCGTGTGCCAGGGAAATACACCTGTCTAGCTGTTCCTTCAGGCTGAAGTGCTTGGTTAAACCTGTATGTGCAAAAAAGAAAAGAAAATCCAAACTCTGTATTAGCAACACTTCTTGAGAAAATGTAAAGGTATCCTTATGTTGGGTAATGTGGAAAAAAATTGAGAGGGTCCATCAGTATTGCCTTTCCACTGGCTTCTGAAGACACACCTGGTTAGGCAAGTGTCCCCTAAACTTCTGATCTTGCAAAAAACTGTTCTACTTGTCCTGTTTTGATGCTCTGATGGAATTGTTCTTGTGTGTGTGTGTGTGTGTGTGTGTGTGTATGGATGGATGTTATAATTGATTTTATAGTTGCAGCCCACTGAGAAGCCATTTTGGCATGTAATGGGTATATTAATTGGGCAGGCTTTCAGCTCAGAAGCTTGCTTAGTTGCTGGCGACAATTTACCGGTTATTGTACCAGCCATGTACCTGCCAGCCCTTCTTTGCAACCTTAAGGACCACAAAGCCGCATTTCCCGCTGATACACTCAAAGTACTCAGTACTGTGCTTGTAATCCATTCCTGTGCTTAGCATGGTCCCCTTTGGAATATGTGTATATCATAATTTGCTACTGTAAAGATGATGGCCTGGTGCCATATTCACCTTTCTGCTGTTTTGTTGTTGCCTAGCCTCCTTTCCTTAGCCTGGGCCCTCTTGTTTCTGCAGAGCGGAATGCCTGTGCAGCCGTTGCCCAAGGAGATGGAGGCGGAAGGAGACTCGACCACAGAGATGAACGGCGAAGAAGAGAGCGAGGACGAGCGCAGCGGCAGCCAGTCTGAATCAGAAGAGGAGAGTTCAGGTAGCTGGCAGGAGCAAAACGCCTCCCAACTCCTTCTTTCAGTGGTAGAGCATGCAGTTTCCATGCAGGAAGTCCTAGGTGTGGTCCCTGGCATTTGCAGGTAGGAGTGGGAAAGACTCTTCTCTGCCTGAAACCCTTGAGAACTGCTGCAAGTCAGTGCAGACAGGACAGAGCTGTTCAGAACAACGAAGACTATTGTCTTACCTTTTTATGGGAACGCCTATGGTACAGAGGGAGAGCAGATGATTTGCACACAGAAGATCCCAGGTACCATAGTGGGCATCTCCAGTTAGAGCAGGTGTGGGGAACGTGTGGCCTTCCAGATGTTGTTGAGCTCCCAGTTCTCGTAAATCCTGACTGCTGGCCATGCTGTCTAGGGATGATGGGAACTAGAGTTCAACAACAGGGAGCAGGATCTGACCCAGAGGCTGGATTCTGAGCTTCCCTACCTGCCACGGGTCCTTGACAGGTGGATACAAATCTGAACCCTAATTTTTGGTTTCCCTTTACTTACCAGCAATTGGAAACAGTAGTAAGGAGGGCTGAGTTTTTCCCTTTCTGTTGCTCTGACATCCTGTTAAAAAATATATATAAAATATTGATACTTATTCAAAACCACACAAAAGTTCTTGCCCATTGCAAAGCATCTTTATATAATACACCAAAATAAAACAGCTACTTAATCTAAAAAAGAACAAAGGCAGAAGGGGGGGAAGGAAAAGAGAGACCAAGAGAGAGAGAAAGCAAAAGAAGAGGAGAGAGAAGAGATTAAAGAGCTGTTGCTCTGACAATCTGACTTGGCCTCTGGGGTCTTTCTAAGGCAGGGGTGGAGAACACCACCCACTCACAGTGGGACAAGTTTGACAGGTAGGTGGGTGGGTGGGTCATCAGCTGATCATTGGGGTTTGCAAAGTGCAGTGCTATCAGCTGATTGTTGGGGCTTGCAAACAGCTGCACGGGACACACTGCAAGCCCTGACAATTGGGTGGTGGTTGCTTGCAAAAGCCAATGACGATTAGTAGATGGCCAGGCTTGAGAAGCAGCACTGTGCATGGGGCTTTGCAGATCTACACCTTGTTCTGATCCACCTGCCCAAGAGAGGGCTCTTGGGAGTGGTCCGATGCAGGGATACCAAAGAAGGATGTCAAAAACACACGGCCAGTTCTAGTGCTTTATTAAAGAAAGGTGTAAACTTACAATTCAGCATGCAGAGAGCCCTGCTGCCTTGACAGATGCGGGGTGAACACCACAGCAGCAAGCAATCATGACTGGTCCACAAAGCCTGATATGTTATACACAAAGCTGAATACATCACTTTGGCCAGAACCTCCACCTGGCTCATGAAGGCATAGGTGGCAACTACCCAGGGCTTACAGACAGCTCCCCTCTCTGGGCCCAGAGCCCAGCATCCCAAGGCCCACAGATAAGAGTTGTATCAAAGCTGGCCAATTAGCATGTATCAAAGCAAGTGAATATACTTAAGCGAGCTCGTTCTTGCAACAACTCCCAATTAGTTTTGGGGTTATCTTGACTACCACGATGGCGTATGCAAGCCTTCCAGAGCGGGCTCACACTTGGTTCAACACACACCTGCTCCCCACCTCCCGTCGGTATGGTTTCAGGTATAAGGCAGTCGGGCATGGCTTGGCCAGAACGGTTTTAGCTAAGGGGGAGACCTGGTGGGGCCTAATGAGATCCACAGGCCTGAAGCCCCCCCCCCACTGTTCTGCTCACTGTGGTAGGAAAACAAAAGGGGAAACTTCTGTGCAACTCGAAAAGCTTGCAACCCTTTCTTCCCTGATGCTGTTCTAGATTTAGGAACATAGAAACATACTACTCAGTCAGACCCATTGGTCTGTCTAGCAGCTCTCTAGGGTTTCAAATGGGGCGGGGGGGGCAGGCTCTCCCAGTCCTATCTGGAGTTACTGGAGACTGGAGTGGGAACCTTCTGTGTGCAGGGCAGGTGATCTTCCACTGACCTACAGTCCTTCCCCACTGATTTAAGCCCATTGAACGGAAAGAGATCCCAGATAGTGAGCATTGTTGAATTTTCTTGCCCTGCAAGACCTGTTCAGAGGAGCCAGGTGACACATGTTGTCTCTTTTACCTGCAGAGATGGACGATGAAGATTATGAACGGAGACGCTCGGAGTGCCTAGATGAAATGTTAGACTTAGAGAAGGAGTTCTCTGAAGTCAAAGAGAAGTGAGTTTTTTTCCATCTCTTTCCCCTGTACTTATTTATTACATTTTAAGCCCACCCTTCCTCCAAGGCGCTTCCCCACCCCCAGTTACCCTCTCAACAACCCTGCAAGGTGAGCCTCATCCTCCTTAAGGTTTCTGGCTCACTGTGGTTTCTTGGGCCTGCTGCCCAATAACTCCCTTAAACTTAAAAAAAGAGAGACACTGTCTAAATATCTCAAGAGTCCTTCCAGTAGCCAAAAGTAAATGAAGTGAATTTTTTGATTAGGAAAATCAAGTGTCAGTGTGCTTCAAACATTGCATTCCAAATTCAAAGCTTTACTTGGAGATCATTTTTGCTGGGATGGCGTAAGTTATTTTTAATTCGTGATGACTCAGTAGCATGCACTTCCCTTTTATCGTTTAGATTTAAAGAAGGAAATTTGAAGGTGTGCTAAATTTAGGATGCTTGGCAAAGAGTCTGTGTAAATGTATGTGCTTCCTACAGATATCCGAAAAGAGTTAAATGCAACTTTGATTTGAGACTAGCGCAAATGAGGCCCTGCTTTTTTGTGCACTAAGGTTTGGGAAAGAAGCATATAAAGACCTGAAGACTAGAGGCAGCGCCCAGATGCTCAACCCCACAATAGGATCGCAGAGCTTCTTTAGAAAAAGTAGCCTGCCGGAAACAAATCTTTACTCCCTGCTTAAAGGCAAATTAATTTGTGGAACTCACTGCCTCAGGTTTTAAAAGGGGATGAGACAAACTTGCGGAGGAGGAACAGATGCTATTAGTGGTGAGCATCCACTGTCCTCTGAGAGACAATTTGGAGGAGGAAGAAGCAAGCAGACAGGCAGCCGAAAACATCATCAGATGGCTGTTCCTGGACCATCTCAGGGAACTACCCCATCTGCTGTTCTCTTCCCAAATGTTCAGAGGAACTAATTGTTCTCATTGCACTGGGTTTTGCTGTTGTTTGACTTCCTTGCCTCAATATATATTTTTTTGTAATTCCTCTCCTTCCAAAAAAAAATAAAAATGTGCAAATACAATAAACAAAACAACAGACCAAAAAACATCGCAAAAATAGGCATGAAGGCAGGGAGAAGAAAAAGACAAGATAAAAAAATAAGGATTAAAAAAGAATGAAATATATTTCATGGTGGGATATACTGCATATACAAGATACATCAAGTATTCATAAATGTCACCAGATAAAATCTTATTTAGTAGGAATGTGCAAGCCATGAGATTGTTGTCTCATATAAGCCCCCAAACAGATGCTGACTCTGAGGGGCTGGCATCGCCCCTGGGTCAGTTTTTCAGAGATGTTCCTTCCTTCCACAATTCTTTTTTCCTAGGCCCACTTATATTTTCTATTTACACACACACACAGCCTTTTAGGGCAGGGATGTGGAACCTGGCTCTCCAGATGACTCCATCTCCCATTATCCCCAGCAAGTACAGACAAAGATCAGAGATGATGGGCAATGTAGTCCTGCAGCATCTGCAGGGCCAAAGACTCTCTGCCCATTTCCTGTTTTAAAGCATAACCCTTACATATTCATTATACATTAATAGGGAACTCGGGTGCTGAGCATGTTGGCTGTGTAGCCAAAACGGGAGTACGGAGAAACAAGAGGGGGATGTTGTCCTGCTCAGCAGAACCCTACGGTTTGCAGAAGTAGAAAATATTTTTTTCCTTAAGTGGGGGAACACAACAAGTTAAGTCATCCAGTCTATATAATTTATGAGTCCATTAGGCAATAGTGTCCCCAATTTGTGGCTCCAATCTGCCTCTCCTTTCTTTCACTGTTCATATAATTCCGTTCCTGAAACCTGCATACTGTATGCTCTACACACCCAAGGTTTTTTGCTGTTCTGAAAAATGCTTAACCCTGACATTTTCCAGTTCCAGTACAACTTCTATGCTCACATATTTTAATTTAGTGTGGTCATACTAACTTACCCTTCCCCGCCACCCCACATACCATGGGGGGGGGGAATTCCACCACACACCTTGATCTCTTGTGGCAACTCTGATTAACCTGTCTGCTGCTGCTGCTGCTGCCGCTCTCGCAGGCTGTTCAAGGAGCGCCTGAGCCAGGTGAAGGCAAAGCTGGAGGACGTGATGGCGGGGAAAGCGTCAGAGTACCTTGACCCGCTCGGGGTCTTGCAGAACCACATGCAGATTCGGATTGAAGTGGCTGGTAAGTGAGGAACCCCCCCCCCCCAGCCTGGCCACTCTTGCCAGCCAGAGTGTAAGCAATCATAACAGCTTTGGTGGAGAGATGGCTTCCAGGTTGTGGCATTTGGAGTTAGGGCTGGGGTTAATTTCTAGAAGAGGTGCATGGGTTATCTTCCTCGTACAGCGTTCACCATATACTGCGGACGTGCCTCTTTACCCTGGCCTTGGTCCTTAAATATTTATTTTTAAACAAACAAACCACATAGTGATGGGCAACCCAGCCAGATGAGCAGGGTATAAATAATAAAATTATTATTAGACGTGTTCTGATTTTAAAAAGTGAAGAAAGAAAGAAAAAGGAAAAAAGAATAGTACATCACTATAGCAATTGTTAACAGTTAGTTGTCACCGTTTTTAACCTACTGTATTTTGTATAAAGCAGTTCCAAACGTCATTATACTTGTCCATGATGCTTAAGGTATTTTGTATCGTGGGACTCACCTCTTTTGTCTCATTTATACTGTAATGTTCCATTTGGGAAAGTCTTGCTTCTTTTGCAATTCAGAGGGTTTTATTTGTTTTTCTAAAGGTACGTTGTGTTGTTGCAACCAGTCTGGAAATATTATGGTAAAAAAAAGCCACCTTATAAATCAATGAAAACAAATGAGAACTAGACTGCAAGGGGCTTGTGTCTCCCTGGAAGCCATGCCTGCCTCAACGCTGGGATGGGCTGTGCTGCAAAGGAGGCAGATGCACTTTGTAGGTGCTCAGTGGCACTCTCTTCCGTGGCTGGTCTTTTGCATTGAAAGGAAGTGGTGGTGGAGCTGAGCCCCAGTTCCGGTTGAGCTTCTGAGGATAGAGAACAGTAAGAGCCATTAGACCGCATGGCAGACACTCTCGGGAGGTGGTAGATTCCCCTTCCTTGGAGGTTTCAAAACAGAGGTTAAATGTCCACATGTCAGGGATTCTTCATCTGTGATTCCTGCATTGCAAGGGGTTGGGCTAGATGACCCTCAGGACCCCTTCCAACTCTACCATCCTGGTTTTATGAACAGTGCTTCAACGTTTTGCCTTTCTGCAGGGATCTACCGAGGTTTCTGCCTGGAGGTGATCCACCACAAGCACCGTTGCGAGCTGCAGGGAGCACAGCAGCACCTGGAGGTGAGAAGCCCCACTTGGTCCCATCTCCCTCCCTTCATTGCCGCTTTCAAATCCTGGCGAGGGCCGGAAAAGCAGCCTCATCACCAACTTCTCGGGCAAGAAGGCAGAATGCAAAAATCTCCTACGCAGGATGGAGGAGCTGCTGCCAGTCAGTGTAGACAGTACTGAGCTACATGAGCCAATGGACTGACTCCATATACGGCAGCTTCCTCTGTTATTTACAGGCATATGGGCAGAGGCTCTAATGGGGCTAATGTGAGAGGCAGTGTGGTGTAGTGGTTAGAGTGCCGCACCAGGGCCTGAGAGACCAGGGTTCGAATCCCCACTCGGCCATGAAGCTCAGCGGGTGCCCTTGGGTCAATCACTGCCTCTCAGCCCCACCCTACCTCGCAGGGTTGTTGTGGGGATTGAATGAGGGTGAGGGGAGAACCATGTACGCCACTTTGAGCTCCTTGGAGGAAAAAGCAGGATATAAATGCAGCAGATAATGTCACATCCACACCATGCATTTAATCCTGGGAACTAAAGTTTGTTAAGGGATTTGTCGCTCTGAGGGGGCAAACAACAGTTCCCGGAATTGTTTTGGGGGGAAGCCATGTGTTCAAAATGTGCCGTGAATGTGACTTCAGTTCCCCCAGGGACAGGGAACTGGCGGCCTTCCAGATGTTGATTGACTCCAGCAGTCCTAGCCAGCATGCCCAATGGTTGGAGACAATGGGTGGCTGCAATCCAGCAACATCTGGAGGGCTGCTCCATGGGCTCTATTCACAAACATGCCATTGCTGAGTGTGCCCTGTTTGCTACTTCATTGCCTATCCCAGCTTGGAATTCCAGAGTCGGGTTTCAGCTTGCATACGAGAATTGCATGTGGGAGCTTGCAGGACCACGCGGTGCACTCGACAAACAATAATTAGCAACAAACAACCGGGTTCCTCAGCAAGAAGCCTGAGCGGTGCTTTCTGCTGACTAGCAGCTTTACAGAACTGATTGGAGGTTGTTGTGGAAAAAAGGTCCCTGCCTTTAATTAGCTGAAGACGAGCAGACGGGGAACTAGTCTAGTTTCCAGTTCTCTTTTTTGCAAACACAGCCCCGACCAGCGTTTTCACAGATATGCCATTGATCCACCACGTGAACTCCTAGGCCCAGGGGTGGGGAACGTTTTGGCCTAGGCCTTCCTGGCATCTCTGTGTGGTCATTAAACTCACTGGGTGACCTTGGGCCGGTCCTTCGTGCTCGCATTAGCCTGCCTCACTGGGCTGTCGTGTGGATGAAATTGGTGAAGGGGTATTACAGAGACCACCTTGAGGTCTTTGGAGGAAAGGCAGGAGAGAAATATTAATAAATCGAAAGGAGACCACGCATTTCTGAGAGCATAAAACCAGCTGCAAATTTCCCTTGCCATTAAACGGAACAGCTGGGTGCCTTGTGAGTCAGCGAGCAGAAATTATTGTGATGTGGGGAGAAACCCAGTTGGGCTCGTGCCAAGAAAGCTTGAATATTAGTTTTAGTTGTCGTGTAGAATCAATAGCAATCCCCAACTGGATGGGAATAAAGAAGAAGGGGAAGATGCACTTAATCCATACCGCCCTGTGGAATGCCCTCCCATCAGATGTCAAGGAAATAAACATCTGTCTGACTTTTAGAAGGCATCTGAAGGCAGCCCTGTATAGGGAAGTTTTTAATGTTTGAGGGTTTTAATACTTTGTCGGAAGCCACCTAGAGCGGCTGGGACAACCCACCCAGATGGGTGGCATACAAATACAGCCGTACCTTGGAAGTTGAATGGAATCCGTTCCGGAAGTCCGCTCGACTTCCAAAACGTTCAGGAACCAAGGCACGGCTTCCGATTGGTTGCAGGAAGCTCCTGCAGCCAATCGGAACCTGCGTTGGACGTTCGGGTTCCAAAGAACGTTTGCAAACCGGAACACTCACTTCCGGGTTTGCGGCGTTCGGGAGCCAAAACGTTCGACCTCCGAGGTACAACTGTAATAAAATCATTCTTATCATACAGAATTCACATGATGCCTTTCGGATGTCCTTGCACTGCAACTTCTGCCACCCCTGGCGATTGACCATCCTGGCTAGGGTTGATGGGAGTTGTAGTCCAAGGACTACTGCAGGGTGGGGGCACCACATTGGCTTATCCTGACGTGACGTCGCCCTTCTACCCAACCAGAGTGAGAAGCTGCTGCTGTTCGACACCCTTCAGGAACGCCTCTTGGAACGGATCCAGTGCTTGGAGGACGACAGGCACAGTGTGGGCCTCACTTCAGGTCAGTCCGGAGGAGCAAGCAGACGCTGTCCCTTCTATGGGGAGGGGCCCATAGCTCACTGGCAGAGCACCTGCTTTGCTTGCAGAAGGTCCCAGGTTCATTCCCCTGATGGAAAGAGTTGGCTAAACCCTCAGAGAGAGCTGCTGCCAGGCCTCCCAAAAAGCTGATTTTTAAAAATGTATTTCAAAAGTGTCATCTAGCCTGGAGGAGGAAGTTGCCATGTTCTGCTTTCGGCAGTGTGCTGACTTCCTGGGTTGTGAGATGTCGTCATTGCGGGTAACTCTGCAGAATTAACGATGGTGTACAAAGCCTTTTTTAAAAAAAACACAAGGCTGCCTTGACCCACAGATGGAGAAACCTGCAGCCCTGGATTTGGCCCCCAACCTCATTTTATGTGGCCCCTGACACTTCCTGAAGCTGCTCCATTCTCCCATCCTGGAAACCGTGGTTTGTGGAGGGTGCTGCAAATCATCTTCTGATAAATGCCTGTTACTCGCCCACCCCATGCCGACCCAGCATTGAATCCATTTGGGTCGGTGGAGCATCGATGGCCCTCAATGCTGAGGTTCCCCTTTGGGCTTATTTTTTTCTCTCTCTCTCCGTCCCCTAGAATGGTGGGATGACAAACTTCGACCGAAGCACAGCTCAAAGGAATGGGACCCACTCCGGCCTGGCAAGAGGAAGAAAGCACCACTGGTGTCTGATATCCTTTCTGTGCTCCCCACACCCTGATGGCTCTGCCCTAGAGGAGGCTGTGGTGCCCAGCATATGGCAAAGAGAAGCAGCTCAGCAGAGCTACTTTGGACAGCTTCTAATGCAGTATTTGTGATGGGAAGCGGGTTAAGCACTTGCCCAAAATTATTTCAGGAAAATGGGTGAGTGGGGATGAGTAGCGTTTAATTGGCAGCATTTATTCCCCGCCATTTACCCAAACAGGCTGTCTCAAGAGCTGCTTTAAAAATATCATTTCTAAGATTCTTTAGCTGTGATTCCCACATTGGACGAGATGACCCTTTGGGCTCCTTCCAATTCTGTGGTCCCTGACCTCAGGCTCACAGTCTAAAAATACATGGCACACAAGGTTAAAGGAGGGAGGAGGGAGGAGGTAAAAGCCAAGCTCAGGCACAAGTTCTTCAAGTGGTAGCTGATGCCAGGGGCAGTTTTCTCTGCCTTTAAGACCAGTCTTCAGTCAGATCCAGGAGCAGAGCTGGTGACAGCATCCAGGGCCAGGCACACAAAGTTCTTCCCTCAGTTAGATGACTTGATGGACAATAGAATCCCAGTTATATTTTTTATCATAGTTGCTGGGGTGCAGGCACCTCTCCCTTAGCTCGTCTTTCCCACGCCCGTACATCGTCTACATGCTGCATGAAATGGATATCATGGAGGACTGGACAGCCATCAAAAAGGTAAGGGTGAGAGAAACGGGCTTCTCCGTGTCACCTTGATCGGAGTGAAGGGAGAGAATGAGGACTCTGAAGTGTCTCTGAGACTGGGAGCAGAAGAGGGGAAGCCTGGAGAACTCGCCCTTGGTTTTCATGGAGAGGCTGGTTATGGGAAATCACACTAATGCAGGGTTTCCCAAACTTGGGTGTCCAGCTGTTTTTGGACTACAATTCCCATCATCCCTAGCTAGCAGGACCAGTGGTCAGGGATGATGGGAACGGTAGTCCAAAAACAGCTGGAGACCCAAGTTTGGGAAACACTGGTGTAGAAAATACAGAGCTAGATGGACCAATTTTTTGACTCAGTATAAAGTAGCTTCCTCCATTCCTGTTTGAACCAGCCATTTATCCAGAACAATGAGGGACCAGAGTCTTTATTTTGAAGGGAATGACCATAGCTCAGTGGTAGAGGTGGCGCTGCGGTCTAAACCACTGAGCCTTTTGGGCTTGCCAATCGGAAGGTCAGCAGTTTGAATCTCTGCAACAGGGTGAGCTCCCGTTGCTCTATCCCAGCTCCTGCCAACCTAGCAGTTCGAAAGCATACCAGCGCGAGTAGATAAATAGGTACCGCTGCGACGGGAGGGTAAACGGCATCACGGTGTCCCGTTGCACCAGAAGCGGTTTAGTCATGCTGTTTAGTCACGTGGCCCAGAAAGCTGTCTGTGGACAAATGCCGGCTCCCTTGGCCTGAAAAGCGAGATGAGCGCTGCAACCCGATAGTCGCCTTTGACTGCACTTAACCATCAGCGGGTCCTTTACCTTTTACCTAGAAGATTTGCATTGCTTATAGAATGTCCCAGGGTTGGTTGCTGACATCTGCAGGTAGGGCTTGGAAGACCCACGTCTGAGTCCATGGAGAGCCACTGCCAGTCCTTGTAGACCAGGGATGGAGAACCAAACTCCCATCATCCCTGACTGTTGGCCATGCTGGCAGGGGCTGATGGGAATTGGAGTCCCAGCAAACATTTGGAGGTTCACAGGTTCCCCAGCTGACACGGATCAAAGACCTGACTTGGTGGAAGAGAGCTTCCTGTGTTTCTGATCAAGGGTGTATAGTCCCTTTGGGACTTCATAGTGCTCCAAAAGAGGAGTTAGGGTCTTGGGGGGGGGCTCCTCGTTCCCTTTTTCTAACTTGGGATGAGCCTCTGCCTTGGAGGTCTGCAGGCTTTACCCAGCTGACTAGACAAGGGACTTCTTCAGCAAGGGGCCTCTGGGAGTGTGACTTCCTCTTACACTCATCTCTTTCTTCCCAGGCTAAAGCGGCTGTGTCCTCGCCAAAGAGGAAACTAGAAGGCAAGAGCCCTGTTTTTTCTCTCTTCATTGCAAGGAGGAGGGGGTGTGGTCCTGGATCTTTCAATAAAGTCCTGATTGTGCCTGAATGTCTGGGAGGATACAGAAGCCCAACTGAGCAGTGGTTCAAAGGCAGGCAGCCTCTGTCTGCTTGGTCCATTGGAGAGGGTTACAGGGCCAGGACCCCCCCACCCCCTGTGTTTGTGTGTGTTGGGTGCATGTCTTTTCATGGAATCTGGTGCTCCTTAGAATCTTGGGTTTTGTTTTGTTTTTAAATCAGGTTTCTAGCCCTTATGGCCGCAAAGATTATATTTTTAAAAACAAGTGAGCACTGTCTGGTGACAGCTTAGAAGCCGGGTTTCGATGTAGATGGGATACTGAATTGGGGCCTTGCACAGCTTCCCGCCCCCTACCCCATCCGTTGTCTTCTGCAACCTGACTGCTCTGCTCTTCCAGTCCTTCCCAGCTGCCCTCTCTCTGTTCCTTTCTGCATAAATGCCCAATTATTTGGAAATACGGTTTGGAAGGGGAGAATAAATGATGGAATATGAAGATAGGCTAATTTGCATATTGGATCATGGCTGTCATAATTGAGTGGATGTGTGCATGCACAAAATCTGCAGAATAAGTAGAATGCACAATCAACCCCACCCCTGAGTTTAAACTGCAGATGCTATCTGGCTTTTCCTCCCTGTTTCCTCTGTTCTCCCCCCCCCCCGCCCCCGCGCCGATTATTTTTCATTATCTATTTTATTTAAGGTATTCATACACTTCCTTTCACGATATTTATGCCTGGGCAGTTTACAGTGCATTTAAATAATAATAATAATAATAATAATAATAATAATAATAATAATAATACAGTAGTGACAAATATGTGCCATAAAATTGACTGGAGGAAATTAACAAACAACATAATCAGCCAAGTAAAAAACTTCCGTCCTTGGTGTTTTTAAAAATATAGCGTCCTTTCAGTACTTTTTAAAAACACAAAGCACTTCAATTATATCTGTCCCTCATATGAATCCCAAGGCAGGTAACCACAGAATTAAAGATGAACCCCAATGAAACACAATAAAAGAAATAAATGAAACAGAATGATCAACAGCAAGAACAGATCATCAGCAGTTAGATCCCAATCATAATCATTATATACACATTACCACAGTGAGAAACCATTCATAAATGTCCAACACGTGGATCTTATTCTGGTGCTGGGATGCGATTAAAATTGGTGCCCGGTCAGGGCACCTTCACAGAGAAGGCACAATGTCCTCCCTGGTGGTAGGACATCGAGATGGGCTTCTCCACCCCAGACCGAAGGGCACAGGCAGGTTAGTATAGGGAGAGGTGCCCCTTTAGATACAACAACCCATGTGGGGAACCTTCGATCTTCCAGAGGTTGCTGAACTACAAGTCCCATCAGCCCCTGCAGGCACAGACAGCGATGATGGAAGTGGCAATTCAGCAACATCTGGGGGAGTCAAAGGTTCCCCACACCTGAAAAAAAAGACATTCATGGGGGGGGGAACCCAGAGAGAATAAGAATGTTGCTTAGAACATATTGGCCCTGATTTTTCCACTTCCCCATCCCACCATATCCTTTCCTTCCCCCAGGCCCAGTGAAGGCCGAGAAACTGCCGTCCCCTGCCCTGTTCTCTGCTCACTGTGAAGATGGCCAGCTCCACTACGAAGGCGAGGCCTACGTCAAAGGGCAGAGCATCTCCTTGCAAGTTGGGGACGAGGCACCTGTCCAGTGAGTGCTGAAAAGAGGAGGGGCAGATGGTGTGGTGGGTGCAGCCAGGAGGACGCCCCAGATCCTGGCCTGAGCTTGCAGCTGAAGATAGTTATCTTGTGCATTTATGCAGCCAGTCAGATAAAAGACGAGAAGCGCCCATCTAGCCTAGCACTGTGGTTTCACAGTGTCCAGCCTTGATGCCCATAGGAACTCTCCCAAACCTGAGATCCCCAGCAGCTTGTATTCAGGGGCAAACTGCCTGATAAAAGAAGGTTTGATATATCTGTAATACACACAAAAAAAACATAGAGAGAGCCATCCTTAGCAGCCATTGATAGTCTGATCCTTCATAGATTTGTCCAATCGTTTTTGGAGCCGTACAAGTTGGTGGCTGTTATTACATTTTGGCGGTAGAAGATTCCATAGTTCAACTATGCACTGTGTCAAGAAGTACTCTCTTTTCTGTCCTGAATATTCCAGCATTCAGCTTCTTCGTTGTCCCTGGGTTCAAATGTTATATGAGAGAGAGAGAAATAAAGAGAGAAACCTCTCTGTCCTCTTTCCCTAAATATGCATAATTTTATATGTTTCTTTCTAAGCTAAAAAGCCCCCAGTGTTGTAACCTTTCTTGGAAATTCCTCTAATCTCCTGATCGTTTTCGTTGCCCTTTTCTGCAGCTCTGCAATATTGTTTTTTTGAGACAGGGCAGCCAGAAACTGTACATGGTATTCCAAGTTTAAAGATCAGTGACAAGACAGTATATCTGCCCTCAGATATACAATCTTTGGATATTTTTCTCAGGACACAGCAGTAGGGGAGGAAAGGGTTAAATTCCCCTTCCATGCCTGCTCTGACCCCATGACCAGTCTCCCTTGCCCCAAGCTGCTATTTGCATTTCTTTAAAAGCAGCATTGTTAATTGCAAATATGTATTACTAGTGTTATTATAAAGACCTATAATTTTTGCTAAGCCTGTAAGACCATCTTCATTTGCCTATATTCTTGTTTTTATATGCCTTTATACAAATGTTTTGCTGTTTTCGTGTTGCATTTTTGGTGTTTGGATGGTTTTTTAAATGTTTCACAACACTTAGAATCTTCTTTTTTTAAAAAACAACCACACTTTCTATGAATGCTTTTAAATAAATAAACATCAGTAGCAGTACATCAGTAACTTACAAAGCACCTAACATGGTCTGTATCAGAGGGTGGGGGACCTCAAGGCCCAGGCACAAAATGCGGCCCTCCAAGTCTCTTTTTGCAGCGCTCAGGAATCTTCCCAGGCTTTTCCTCCTCCTCCTCCTTTGCCACTGGTCCTGTTTCACACCCTCACTGAATGTTTTTTGCCTTGCTGCAAAGTGTCCTTGAGCTCTGATAATGCCTCTCAGTTAATGCTTGGAGGGCTGACAGAGGGGTGGGGTCTGCAGGCATAGAAAATAGCACACTTTATTGCTCCGCCCACTTGCCCTCTGGCCCCACCCTCTCCACTGCCATGTGGCCCCTGGAAGGCTGCCCAGAACAGAACATGGCCCTTGGGCTGCAAAATGGTCCCTGCCCCTGGCTGCATATGTATGAAAAGGATAAGACAGCTCCTGGTGCTTTCAGGCTTGACTTAAAAGGAACAGAAGACAGCAAGCATCAGGGCAGTTTCTCCTTTACTTGACCAGTCGATGGGGTCCAGCCAGTCCCTCTCCTTGCCCTGATAATCTTTTGGGGAGGGAGCAAGTGCAGCCTCTCAGTGAACCTTGGTGCCTTGGCCTGTGGCAGAGGCCTACTTTCACTTCTGGTTAACACCCAGTTTGGCCCAAAGTAACAAACTTCTTCTTGCAACCAGCCAGGATGGCATGGACCATCTCAGGGAGAGCAGGATGAGCACAGCTGGTGTTCCAGCATCACCCACAGAGCAGCCCCTGCTTCCGGTCTCTCCCTGAGAGATGAGAAGGATCATAGAAGCACGATATAGAACCTCTGTTGTATCTCGGAGGTCCCAGGTCCCATCTCCATGTAGACTCCATTTTCGAAACCTTGCAGAGCCATTGCCAGTACTCTGACTTGGTATAAGCTGCGTTCCTTTGGAGTGAGGTTTGGAGACGGCTGGCATGTTGAGATCAGGGCCTGTGTGAGATGCTGCCTTGGCCCCCTGCCCCAAAAAACACACACATTCTGCCTAGCCACCCCTGACTCTTCTCCCTTTCCTCTAGGGCTGTGATCACTGCCATCAGCACTGGGGAGGTTTGGCTGCGCAGGGAAGACGGCAGCAAGACCAAAATCTACGTCTCGCAACTCCAGAAGGGCAAGTATTCCGTGTGCAAGGTCTAGCAGCGCAGACTTTGGCTCTCTCGCTTCTCCTGGAACAGGCACAGCTTCTTTCTCTTGGAAACCAAGGGACTTCGGAGCAGCAAAGACCACCCCGAACCACCCCAGTTTGGGCTGCAGCAGGTGGAAGGGAGAAGGGCTTGCTTACAGTTACCTTGGAATCATACCAGCATCGCTGCCCCTAGTGACCGGGGGCCCTTGGCGTGGAGCCCTCCCCCTCCAGCCCCCTGTTGGTCCTGCGGCAGTTTTGATTGTGCTTGCCCAGCGTGCCCCTCCCTCCGTGTTTGGGGCTGGGCCTTGACGGCAGCTCCTCTCAATAAAACACCAAAGTGAAATACCTCCCTCCAGCTTCCAGGCCTGGCTTTTTAATTGGAGACCAGCTGTCTCTGAGGTTTGCTTGTTTGGACTGAGAAGGGAGGAAATGATGCTTTGGGATGGGGTGGGAGGAAGGGGAGGGGAGGGAGAGATGGCAGTTAGAAGGCAGATTGCAGACCCTACAACCTCCATTGTCCTCATATTATTGTCCATGCTTGCTGGGGCTGATGGGAGTTCCAAACATTTGGTTGGCTACTACTGTCCTGACCACTTCCCTGTTACTTTTGGGGAGGCTGTAGTGGTGGCGGTATCTGTAAGGCCAGGTGATACCTGGTTTTCAGCAACGCAATATATCACCAGCTAAACATTGCAATATATGGATAAATCACAATGTCTGACATAAGGATGGGACTATTAAAGAGGCGAACCGTAGGGCAGGGCAATAACTGGTTTTCCACATTGAGATATCACCAGCTAAACATCGTGATATACTGATAGATCTTGATGTCTGAAAGAAGCATGGAGCTATGGAGAGGCATTGGCTGGCTTCACGGTTTTTCCCATCTTGTGATTTTTGCCAGCGCCTCTCCTTGTGATTCTCTGCCCACCCCTGCGTGAGGCAGGGGAGAGGTGAGCTGTCAGAGTTAACAGGGGCTACAGAAATCGAAGAGAAGCATTGGCTGGCTTCAAGGTTTTTCCCCACATTGTGATTTTCGCATAGCACACAGCCAAAAACATTGTGATCTGTGGTATGTTGCCAGGTCAGAAATTATGAAACTGATATCACAAAATGGACTTCAAACCGGTTTTGGATATATGTACTGTATTTTTTGCTCCGTAAGACACACTTTTTTCTTCCTAAAAAGTAAGGGGAAATGTCTGTGCGTCTTATGCAGCAAATGCGTGGTCCCTGGAGCCGAATTGCCCAGGGGCAAAAAGCAGATCATGCTTTTTTGGTGTTTTTTTGAAAGAGGGAAGTGGGTGTTGAAACAAAGCTGCTAATCTGCAAGAGATCGGGGAGGGAGATAAGGGACACTAGAGATAAAAGAGACTGCCTGGGAGGGGGGAGGTAAAAGCCCATGGATCCTCAGGATTTTTGCATTGGGTCACCCCAAATTCACCATCAGATCACATAGCATGTCCATGGCTACAGCAGGCACCAAAAAAATCACACACCCACTGTTGCGTGGGGCCACAATGGTGCAAAAACGCGCCTGCCCTTGTGAAGCACAGATCCACATGGATTCTCAGGATTTTTGCATTGGGCTACCCCAAACTCACAGTCAAATCAAATGTCTGTGGCCACAGCATGAACCACAAAAATCATACATCAACTGTTTTGTTCAGAATGTTTTTTTTCTTGTTTTCCTCCTCTAAAAACTAGGTACGCCTTTTAATGTCAGGTGCGTCTTATGGAGTGAAAAATACGTTAGTTGCTCAGCCGTGTGTGTGTGTGTGTGTGTGTGTGTGTGTGTGTGTGTGTTGGGCAACTGATATAAAAGATTAATGAAATTCATGGGGGGTGAGGGTATCCATGGCTACTAGCCATAATGACTTTGTTCTCCCTCGGCTGTCAGAGGCAACAGGCCCCTGAATTCTAGTTGCTGGGAACTGCAAGTGGGGAGAATTGTTGTTGCTCTCAGGTCTTGCTTTCAGGCTTCCCCAAAATCATCTGGCTGGCCGCTGTGAGAACAGGATACTGCACTACACAGGTGTTTGGCCTGATCCTGCAGGGCTCTCCTTAAGTTCTTAAGTTGTTTTTGCCAGGGAATTGGCCGAGGCATCTGGAACAAGAGAAGAAAGACTCAAAGGGATTCCTGACTCCCACCAACCAACCGGATCCTTCCCCACCTCCGCTCCCCGCCGTGGCTCCTTCCTTCCTTCTTTCTTCAAAGCTGGGCTAGACCTTTGTTCTGTCTCTTTCCTGCCCATTTCTCCTTTGCTCACAAGCGCTGCTTCTCAGAAAGCACAGAAACGAACGAGAAACTCTCAGGTGTTAAAACAGAAGAGATGAAAAACTTTATTGTGGCTAAACAAGAAGAGCCAATGAAGGGTTGTGAGCAGAGGCTTTGGCCAAGATGATCTTCAAGAAGACAAAACAAAAAAAATCTGGCCAAAATGAAATATTTTGCTGAAGATGAAGAAAATTCCTTCCTGACCTCACATTATTAGCTGGGATGAGTGGTTCCCATTTGAACACTGGACAGGCAACTCAAAGCAATGAGGCTGCTGGACAGGAAGCTATACAGTCATACCTCGGGTTACAGACGCTTCAGGTTGCACGTTTTCAGGATATGGAAGCACCAAAACCCGGAAGTACACGAACAGGGTTACTTCTAGGTTTCAGCGCTTGCTGAAATGCAACCCTGCACGTGTGCAGACGCGGCGCTGCGGGTTGCGAACGTGCCTCCCACACGGATCACGTTCGCAACCCGAGCGTCCACTGTACTTAGGAACTGCCTCATTCAGCCCTACTTGTGTCTGGCAAATACAGTGGTACCTCGGGTTAAGAACTCAATTCGTTCTGGAGGTCCGTTCTTAACCTGAGGTACCACTTTAATTAATGTGGCACTCCTGCCGCCGCCGCGCGATTTCTGTTCTCATCCTGAAGCAAATTTCTTAACCCGAGGTACTATTTCTGGGTTAGGGGAGTCTGTAACCTGAAGCGTCTGTAACCTGAAGCGTCTGTAACCCGAGGTACCACTGTAGAACTTCTGCCTTGTTTTGAGCTCTGGGACATGAGCTATGGCACCCAGGTTCCTTTGTTCCTTTGCCCTGTAGAGATCTTCCCTTATAAAATATTTGGGTAGCTTGGCAAGGGCAACACAAGCTTTTCATGGAAGTTGCAACCTATATTCTTTGGTAGAGGGCGACATTCCTTCAGGGGTGACCTGTCAGGGGGCGGGGCTGCATATCGGCAGTGGGCGGAGCACCAGCAATGGTGGGTGGAACCAGAGAGGCAATGGAAACAGGGACTGTGTTGGGGCGGAAGATTAGGGCAGCTTCTGGACACACCAGGGGCCACACAAAATAAAGCGAGGGGCCACAGATGGCAGCTGAGCTGGCGGTTGCCCACCTGCACCCAGGATTCTGTTCAGCCCTCAGGGCACTCCCCCAGGTGACACCCCTCATGGACCCTGTTCCCAAGCCATCTTTAGGGGTTTTGGCCTGGCTGGAATGAGTCCTTGAATTGCGATGCTTCTTACTTGCCTGGATGGGAGTATGTGGAGAGGAAGAGTGCATGCACTCTTTGACCTTTTCCCTCTGGCCTCGCCCACCACTGAGCAGCGGCCCCTTGGCGGTTGTCCCCAAGGGAGTGTGGCCCTCGGGCTGAAAGATGCATGCCAGAAATGTAGGTTTCTGCAATTAAAAGACATTTAAGTTCTCTGCCACCCTAGCACAATAAATCCACTTTTTTAAAAAACCAACAACCTGACTTTTTGCTGTTTGGAAAGTGATGGGGAAATGTACTGCAAAGTGTAGGTTGAACAAATGATTAATGGGAAAGTGTATGGTCACCTCACAAGCAATTCAAGACGAATGCTCAGCAAACAGGTTGTCTGGAGGCACCACAAGTGAGACCATTTGCCCATTGGATTTAGTTTTGCCTGCACTGACCGACAGCTGCCGTCTAGGATTTCACACAGTGTCTCTTTCCCAGTCCTACCTGTTGCTGCCAGGGACTGAAGCAGGGACTGTTCTGTGGCCCTTCCCCTAAAAATGACATAATATTCTAGTCCTCACGATCCTGAATAAAGAGCTGGTTTAAACCACTAGCTCAGTATTGCCCCCAACTGGCAGATGTTTTCCAGGGTTCCATGTAGTGCTATTTTGCAGGCCTGTTTGGAAAGTGTTGGAAATTGAATGCTTCCTTATTACCCTAATGAAAGAAACGTTTTGCCTCTTTCAACATAATTTTAAAACTGTACTGTCAACAGAGCGCATGGCAATTTGATTCCAGTTTAGCACCTCTGGCCAGGTAGCCCTCAGAGAAGATGCCTTCCTTGGCCTACCTTAGACTGTTTGGGAAGTCATTATTATTATTTCTCTCTTTTTTAGCTGCGATTCCTGCATTGCAGGGGGTTGGACTAAATGACCTTTGAAGTCCCTTCCAAGCCTACGATTCTGTGATTCTCATTACTCAGGAGCTGAACTCTGGGAACTGATTTTCCATTCTAGGGCTCCCTGACAAACCTAGAGAAGTAGCAAGAAGGAAAAAAATGGGAGTGGGAATCTGAATAAACCTTCCCTGTTAAACAATAATACTTCTGAAGCAACCTTTGCCAATCTGGGACTCTCCAGATGTTTCTGGCTGCATATCCCATCACCGTGGGAGCTCTAGGTTGGTAAAAGCTATTACAGAGGGGTTTGAAACATGGAAGGCTTTCTGCACTTGCTCAGAGACCCCCCCCCCTTTTTGTGCTTTCTTCCCTTTTTCTATTTCCAATCAAACTGACCCAGATAGCTCAGTTGGTAAGAGCATGAGACTCTTAACCTCAGGGGCGTGAGTTCGAGCCTCACATTGGGCAAAAAAATTCCTGCATTGCAGGGGGTTGGACTAGATGACCCCAGGGGACCCTTCCAACTTCTAACCATTTGATGATTCTGTGAAATCTGCTGCTGCTGCTGCTCCTTGGCATTTTGCAAAGCCAGCCGCCTCTTCCGTGGCAGGAGCCCTGCGGTGAGCTCAGCCTTCTCAAGATTTCAGCCCATGAAGTAAGAGTTTGTTGTTGAGAGCCAGGTGCCCACCCTCCTTCCCGGTGCCGCTTGCCCAAGCCTCGCCCCGGAGCTGGATCTCAGCCAAGACGTCTTCAGGCAGCTGAGATGAGTGCAGCCGAGAGAGAAACCGAGTGCAATAGGGGAGGCAAAGGAGCACGCCGTGGAGTTGCCGGAGAGAGGAGAGGTGAGTGGCGAGGATGGGGAGGGGGGCTTGCTTGGGGTACCCTGAATTAGGGGGGCGTCGTAGATGGGAATTTCCTCCCTTCCTCTATTGACCAAACTCGATTGCTGGGAACTGGTGCCAACGGCGCTTCCCCGCAGCAGTTGATTTCCTTGTTTGTGGACTCCTTGCTTCGGGGAGGGCAGTGCCGTCTAAAGGATACACCTGGTCACGTGGAGGCCACCTTTGTAGTCCCGTTGCTAGAAAGTGTGCTGCGCGTGTGTTTTGTGCGGGGATGTTACACTAGGGGTGTGCTGCTGATCAGGAAGGAACTGGGAGCTGAGACTCCTGAGATCATTTCCAGCTCTGGTTTCTCAGCCGCATGGCAGAGGTGGGAAAAGTTAAGACTCCCGTTGCTCCCCCAGGGGCTGTTCAAACCCAGCTCCCAACAGCCGGCATGTGTGGCCAATGGTCAGGGCTGTGAAGAGCTGGATTTCAGCAAGATCTGTGGAGCAGTTGCCGGTTCCCCCATCGCTAGGGTGAAGGGAAAAGCCTCCTTCTGTATCTGGCGCCAGAGGATGGGAGTCACTCTGGATTAAGTGGGTTACTAGCGTCTGGGGGCACTGGGAAAGCTTTATTTTATTCTGCAGTATTTTATATCCTGCCTTTCCTCCAAGGGATATGATGTGGCGCACAGCACTTTCTCCCTCCCCGTTTTTTATCCTACAACAACGCTGCGAGGTAGACTTAAGGTGAGAAGTTGTGCCTGGCCCAAGGCTTCATGGCTGGGGATTTTGAACCCAAGTCTTCTAAATCGCAGCCTTGACATGCTGAGCCCCACTGGCCCTAACCCTAACTCACTTAACCTGCTCCCCTACTCCAGAACTCAGTGAGGGGTTGTGCCTGAGTCAGCATGCATAGGGTTGTATCCAGCTCAGTCCTACTCTTAATAGACCCGTTGAAATCAAAACTTAAGTCAGTCGCGCAGCCATTGATTTCAAAGGGTTCTACTCTGAGTAGGACTGAGCGGGGTACTTACCCATGTCCCCAGGGGGGCATCTCACAGCTATTATATCTTAGATGGTCCCTGGGCACTAGGACTGTTGGGTTTGCAGAAACGGGCTTACTGGTGTTCACTGGTGAAAGGTGGGAGGTTTGGTTCCTGGGGTGCTGAGCTCAAGAGTGGGATGCTGGCCAGGGCATGTTCATGAACACCACAAACAAACACCCATCCCTGACCGCTAGCCTTGCTGGCAGGGGCTGACGGGAGTTTGAGTCTACTGTTTGGAGGGCACCAGGTTCCCCAGCCCAGGATTTGTGTATTATTGGCAAACAAGGCCTTGTCCAGCTCCAACTGAAAGGCCCCCATCCCGGGCCCCCGTTTATACAATGTCAGAAGGAAGGAAGGAAGGAACACCATTCTTCCTCTTTCCCTCTTGCCGCATGTCTTTGCATGTGATTCTGCACCTCATCTATGGCCTTATGTTGATGTCACTCCTGCTCCACCCTCTGTGCATGTCAAGAGTTGTGGGGATGGATTATAGAACTGTAGAATTGGAAGAAACATGAGGGTCAGTAGTCCAACCCCCTGTATGAATGTAGGAATCTTTTTGCCCAATGCGGGGCTCAAACCCACGACCCTGAGATTAAGAGTCTCATGCTCTACCAACTGTACTATGGGAGCCTGCCCTAGCTGAGCCCAGCATTTTTGGCTAATTGGCTCAAGTTCCCATTGCCTGGAGTGGCTCTCTTCCCCGCCCCCGCCCCCACCTGTGAGGTAGGTTAGACTTCATTTTCTTTTGTTTCTTACATTTATATCCTGCTTTCCCACGCTAGGAGTTCAAGGCGGCATACGTGGTTTGCCCCCCTCCCCATTTTAGCCTCACAACCTAATCAGGTAGGTCACCCGCTGGGCTTTATGGGTGGCTGAGAAGTCAAAACAGTCCTAGCCTAATCCATTCTAACAGATGGATCTGATAGGTTCCTCCCCCCCCAAAAAAAACCCCCCTAAATATTGTGTGAGGTAGATGTGTGTGTGTTTGGGGGTTGTGTGTCATAGCTGGGAAATGAAAGATTAACCCTTCCCTACCTGTGTGACCTTCCCCCCTCCCCCTCTTGTGCCACAATTAGGCTTGCAGCGGGGAGGGAAAGGAAACTCCTATTGGCTCCTTTAGGAGGGTTTTTTGAGAAGACATTGTAGAACTGCCAGGGCCCATGGTTTCCCCAACCACACGCACTGCAGCTCAGGAGAGACCTTGATGACTGTTTAGTATTATTATTATTATGACTTGCCAGCTGTGAATATAGCACTTGTTCTCTCACACGCTCTGCTTGCCACTGCTTTCATCTCACCAAATCACTGACTTTGTCGCTTCTGCTGCTGCATCCCCTGGAACTGAAATTCAGACCTCTCACTGTTTTGACTTCAGGCACACTTTTGCTCCCAGGCCTTCTCCTCTAGGAAACAGATCTCACTTCTAACCCCCGTGCTGCTGGCAACCCCAATCTCTGTCGCGCAGGAGCGAGATTACAGGGCCCTTGGCACTTAATCAGGTTTTGTGCTCCTTTGGAATGAGGCACAGGGGAGAATGGTGTGTCTTTAAGAAATATAGTTCATTCACACATATTTAATAATAATAATAATACCGTAGTACTTTCGGGTTAAGTGCTTAATTTGTTCCGGAGGTCCGTTCTTAACCTGAAACTGTTCTTAACCTGAAGCACCACTTTAGCTAATGGGGCCTCCTGCTGCCGCCGCACCGCTGGAGCCCGATTTCTGTTCTTATCCTGAAGCAAAGTTCTTAACCTGAAGCACTATTTCTGGCTTAGTGGAGTGTGTAACCTGAAGCATATGTAACCTGGAGCGTATGTAACCTGAGGTACCACTGTAATAATAATAAGTTTATTATTTATACCCCACCCATCTGACTGGGTTTCCCCAGCCACTTTGGGCGGCTCCCAACAGAACATTAAAAACAGAATAAAACTTCAAACATTAAAAACTTCCCTAAACAGGGCTGCCTTCAGATGTCTTCTAAAAGCTAGATAGTTGTTTATTTCCTTGACATCTGATAGGAAGGCGTTCCACAGGGCAGACGCCACTGCCGAGAAGGCCCTCTGCCTGGTTCCCTGTAACCTCACTTCTTGCAGTAAGGGAACTGCCAGAAGGCCCTCAGCGCTGGATGGTCATCTGTCATGTATGATTCCTGCATCACAGTGGGTTGGGCTAGATGACCCTAGGGGTCCCTTCCAACTCCATGGTTCTATGATATTTACATTGCCCATTTCATTTTCCCCTTGATTTATTTTTACTATTATTTTAAAGGAGTTTTAGTGTATTTTATTGTTGCTGTTTTTATTTTCTCGTGAGCTGCCAAATTAGCTAAACAAAAGCCATAAGCAAGAATATCACAGCTAGGGGGAGATTGAACCAGACTCCTTCCATCACCCTGTTCCCATGCTTGCTTTCCTCTTCCCTCCCCATTCCTTTTCCTTCTGTGTCATGCCTTTGAGATGGCTGAGCCTGCAGTCAGGAAACCGCCTTATTTTATTGTAAAAAAAAATATGTATTGATAGCACATGGAAAATGCCATGTGCTTTATACATGTGCTGGTGGTTAAGGAACTTGCCGACTGCATCGGGACTGTTTGTGGGTGGGAGAGATGGCAAATGGAACAAAGGGGAAAGCTTTTTCAGCTTTGTTTTGGGTTGGGGGTGAGGACAAAGGGGTTAGCTCTCCCCACCCCAGCAGGAGGCCCATTTCCACAGGCTTCTCCTTCCCCCTGTGGGGCAGGGCAGCTGCTAAGTGATCACTCAATGCTGCGCTCCTCCCCTGTCTCCAAATTGCAGCTTCTCATGCCATGGAGCTGATTCATAGCCTGCCTTACTTTCTCGTCTCTCGCCCCCGCTGTGTTTTGTAACAGCTCGAGGATGGCTCCCCGCCTTCAGCTCATGTTCGATCCAGCTGTGTCTCTGCAGAGGGTGGCAACTTTCCCCTCCCTGGCATGTTCCTGGGCTTAAAAATAAAAAAACAACAATGTGACACGGTGCTGCAAAAACTCAACAGGTGCTCCTTGTATTTCCACACAAGGATAATCTGCACCTGTTGGATTTCTGCAGAGCATGAAAATAAAACACATAGGACGGAGCTGTTTCTCCATCTAACGTAAAAAGAGGATCAGGGCCAAAGGCCCATCTAAGTTCAGCATCCTGTTCTCACGCTAGCCAACCAGATACGTCTGGAAATCCTGAAAGCAAGTTCCAAAGGAAAGAGCACTCGACCCACTTGCGATTTCCAGTAACTTCTATCATTCAGAGCCATACTGCCGCTGACAGTGGAGGAAGAAAATGGCCATTGTGGCTGCTAGTATTCTTTGATTTCCTTGTCCTTCATGAATTGATCCAAGTTGGTGGGCTATATAATGTGGTCAGCCATGGGCACACATAGTCTGTAGGCCTTCCTTGGTGCCTGCCAGATATCCTTCCCTCTCCCCTCCCCTTGATTTCTCTCTCTCTCTCTCTCTTTCGAGGTAGGGCTGGGGAAGACCTTTCTCTGCTGGAGAGATGCTGCCGGCCAGTGTGGGAATGGATCTACCCGTACTATGAAACCAATGAAGCTTAAGCTTCAGAGACCCTCAATCCTGAAGGGGCCCCAGAAGCGACTTTTGCCCACGTTGCTTAAAAAATGCGGGTCTGGTAGACCCAATTTGAGTCGCACAATTCGAATTGACTCATTTTGTTGATGCAGGTGGCGCTGTGGGTTAAACCACAGAGCCTACGACTTGCCGATCAGAAGGTCGGCGGTTTGAATCCCCGTGACGGGGTGAGCTCCCGTTGCTTGGTCCCTGCTCCTGCCAACCTAGCAGTTCAAAGCACATCAAAGTGCAAGCAGATAAATAGGTACCACTCCGGTGGGAAGGTAAACGGCGTATCCGTGCGCTGCTCTGGTTCGCCAGAAGCAGCTAAGTCATGCTGGCCACATGACCCGGAAGCTGTACGCCGGCTCCCTCAGCTAATAAAGTGAGATGAGCGCCGCAACCCCAGAGTCGGTCACGACTGGACCTAATAGTCAGGGGTCCCTTTACCTTTACCTTTTATATTTCAACAAGTTTGAGTCCGTAGCACCAATGTTATAAAAGTATGGTGATCTGTCATGGAACAACACCACTGAAGACGATAAAAGTGGTGACCCAGACCTCATTGCTGGTTGCGAAGGGGCCCCAAGACAGTTCAAGCTTCAGGGCCCCCAAAATGTAGGTCTGCCACTGAGTCAGCATAGACAATACTGAGCTAGGCAGACCAGCCTTTAGACGCCATGCAAGACAGCTTCCTGTGCCCCAGGTGCTCTGTCACATTTCAGCCACAAGTATACACTCAAAGGCTGCGTACACAGCAATGCCTTTCAAGCACATTCCTTCCCTCAGGAATTCCTGGCACTGCTATTTACCCCTCGCAGAGTTACTATTCTCAGCAAACCTTAACAGACTAACTACAGCGCCCATAATTCTCTGAGGGGGAAACATGCACTTCAAATGTGCTTCAAAAGCCATAGGCACCAAATCTATGGGCTTGCGGACACCCCTCAAAGTATGCTGAGCCCCCGCCAATCTTGAGGGGCCAGGCCTCGCGGGATCTCCCTGCGGTGGCAGCAGGCCTTGCAGCCTCCTCCCAACATGCGTGATGTCACAGGATAGAAATGGAATAAAGTAAGACTGGCAGATGAAATTATTAGACTATGCAGAGATGGCAAGATTGACCAGGGAAATCAGACATCAGGAGGACCAAAACTTCAACAGAGAGTGGGGCAAATATAAGACTGTATTTGAAAGACCACTGCAAGACCACTTGAGCTCTTTGGCAGGCTTTAAATAACTCTTGCAATGATACATAGACTTTGGATACACTGGAGGACGGTAAACTAGATGGATTTATAATACACAGTAGAAAAAGTTATTTAAAGAACCCACAGAGGGGAGGAGGGAAGTCCTAGGATTTGGAAGAATCCTGTGTAAAATTTTAACTTTTGCAAGAATAACATTTGTGTGAATGAATTTGCAAAATCTAATTTAAAAAAAATAATGGAATAAAGTAAAGTCATGCTAAGCAGGGCAGGTCTCTTGGGTTGCCTGTTGTTTGCGCCCCTTTCAGTTCCTCACGCTGGACTCAGGGGAGGTTTTTGTTCCCTCTCAGGATGACTCGGAACCCGATCTACGACTACCCCGAGCCTTATGCCAACCCACGGCACGGGACGGTGTCCTCCCCCCGGAGCATCAGCCTCGTGGGACGACTGCGCCTCACTCAGCCAGTTTGGCTCCAGCTGGGCATCAACTCGGCCGCTGCACTTCACATCCTTCAGCGTGAACCTCCCGGGGTGAGGATTGACAGGGTTTCATCATTATTTTTATTCTCATCACCCCACTTTAGAGCACAGGAGTGATGAGAATAGTGCTTCTGAGCATACTCTGAGTGACCTCTGCCCCAGTGGCTTGGGCTGCAACGTTTTTCCTTTCGACAGAGGCTCCTTTCCATTCAGGAAGCACCTGAACGTCTGAAATTCAGGCTGCAGTGTAGGAATGCATTTGTGAGGGAGACAGCTTCACCTGTTGGATGTCTCCATTTCCACAAAAGTGAGAAGGCAGAACTCCCAGAACGGTTTAACAGTCAATCCGTCTTCACAGGTGAATCTGGAAAATGTAGCACTGTGAGGGGAATAGGGGCCTCCTAACAACTCTCAGCACCCTTAAAAAACTATAGTTCCCAGAATTCCTTGTGGCCATAGAATCAGAGTGGGCCTCACACGCCATCTACTTTAATCCCTTCGCTCATACAGGAAATTTACAACACCAGCATCCCACCTGCAAAAAAGGGTAATCCAAATGCAGCCGTGCTTTCTTAGTATATTCTATTTCCTACAGAGTTTGCATTTTAAAAAAAGTTAGCATTTGGAACCTCTTCCCACCTATTGATGCTGCTGTCTGTGTGTCCCTGTTATTATAGTCTACCTTAACCTGCTTTCATGCTTCTCTTCCCCCTTCTCCCCACTCCCAGACATTTTTAGTGCGGAGATCAAATACACGGCAATGTCAAGTCTTGTGTTTACGCCTCCCCGACAATTCATCGCCGGCTTTCGTGACGACCCATTGCTTATGCCAGGAGCGTGCAGGTGAGGGTGGCGAGTGCATTTGCCTTGCAAGTTCGGGGGATTATTCAAGTGTTCTGGGAATAATTTTCATGGAGGAGAATTTGGGGGAGGAAATTCGTCCCAACTCTGGCCCGGGGTTAACTTTTCTCCATCTGTTTCTTATGTTCTCCAGTCATCTTCCTAGAGGGCTCGGATTTGACCTTCCCCAGCCTCCTGCACCTCATTGCTTCCTACTGCATAACCCCGTAAGTGGCTTGCCACCTTTGGAGACCATCATTATCCCCTATGGTGGTTCAATTACAACCGAGACTCCTGAATATATATATGTGAGGGGAGAAGGTCCTTGAGTGAATGTCTAGTGCTCCTATCTGACCATTTTCTTTTAAAATGTCAGCTTTTGGGGGAAGTGTCAGGGCACGGGGGTTGAGCACAATCACTGCAGGTACGGCCAGGTGTGACTGTGAAAGACACCACCTGAAACTCTGGAATGCTGCTCCAGAATGCTGGTCCAGAGACTCCGCTGGTCAGTGTAGCCCAGGGATGGGGAACTTGTGACCCTCCAGGTATTGGGAGTGACTCTCCAGATGTTAATCTCAGGGCTGTGGGTTCGAGCCCCAGTCATGGGTGTAGCCAAGGGGGGGCAGGGGGCAGCTGCCCCCCATCAAGTAAAACAATAGAAAAACTTAACTAACTGACCAATCACATCGGTTCTGCCCCCCTAACAAAAATCATGGCTACACCCACGGCCCCATGTTGGATGAAAGATTTCTGCATTTCAGGAGGTTGGACTAGATTACTCTTGTGGTTCCTTCCAAATCTATATGATTCTATGATTTCCCGCTTAGAAAAAGATATACATTGAATGTTCTGGTTTCTGGTTTCCAAGTGCATTGTTTTTTCTTCAGAGTTCTGGCTGAGTTTTGACAGACTTTCTCTTCTTCCCTCCCCCTGCCCTCTGCCTCAGGGACATCCTCCCTCTTTCTCTGCGCCTTCCTCTGCTCATCTGGGAGGCCTCATCCTGCCAGCAGCTGGAGGCCATCGCTCATTTGGGGCTTGGTGAGTGGCTCAGTGTTGACTCGGTGGTAGAAATCTCCATCCAGCACCAAACCCCTGAACAGCAACCCCACTTCAGCACCCCACACTCACCTGCCTAGCTTTTAACCTCCTAGGCTCCTTGACAGGGGTGGGGGATACACAGCTCAGTGACAGGGGGTGTCAGGGGTGGAGAACCTTCTCCATCTCACGGGCTGCATTATTTCCTGAGGTCCACTTACCAAAAGTGGGTGGGGCCAGTGGGAAAAGTGGGTGGGGCAACTAATCCTACAGTTGGCTAAGTTTCCAGAGACACCTCCCCTCCCTGACTTTCATCCAAGCAAGAGCTCTAGGGCAGATTTTCAGCCAGGCAAAAGACACTCAAGGGGGGTGCGAGGCAGGGCAAGTCAGAGGCAAGGCCTGGGGGAATCCCAAAGGCCAAACAGAGAGGTCTGGGAGGCCACTTCCAGCCAGATGGTCCCCCAAGAAACATTACAGTGGCACCTCAGGTTACAGACGCTTCAGGTTACAGACTCCGCTAACCCAGAAATAGTACCTCGGGTTAAGAACTTTGCTTCAGGACGAGAACAGAAATTGCGTCACGGCGGTGCTGGGAGGCCCCATTAGCTAAAGTGGTACCTCAGGTTAAGAACAGTTTCAGGTTAAGAACGGACCTCCAGAACGAATTAAGTTATTAACCTGAGGTAACACTGTACTGATCAAGGCCACTTCTGCACTGAAAGCCGTATTATGCCTCTTTAACAGTTGTAGCTTCCCGCAAAGAATCCTGGGAACTGCAGTTTGTTGAATGCAGCTTTTCAGGGGAAGAGGGGCGGGGGTCTCTCAATAACTTTCAGCAACCATAAACTACAGTTTCCCAGGATTCTTTGAGGGGAAGCCATGACTGTTTAAAGAAGTACAGTACAACTCTTAAATATAAAGGTGCAGATGTGGCTCAAGTATAAAACTGCTTCCTAACAATATTAGTCACTGATGGATGCAGATTGCTCCCAGTGGTTGCCTAGCAACCACAACCAGTGCATCTCCACCTTCTTCTTTTTTTCTGGCCTGACAAAGATAATCATAGCCAGGCTAGAGCTTTGAGCACCCAGCAAACGCTCTTTTAACACGGTTTGTTCTCTCTCTTTTCATCCTCATTCCCTGCCTCCAGAATTTTGGAGCTCATCCCTGAACACTAAGGATTTCAGCAGGCCTATTCCGCCGGTGCCTCTTTCCGGCCCGGACAAGGGCCTCACGAGCGACACCCAGGTGGGGAGCTGTGCAAAGCTGGTTTGCGGACAACCTGCCAGATCCCATGATATTCCAACCCCCCCGCCAGCTGACGGAACTCTGCACAAGGATGTGGGCACCCGGCGCCAGCGCTTCAAGAACAACGTCAAGGTCCAAGTGTCCACAGAGGCTGTCAGCCCCCTGTCCCCCCCGGCGGTCCCACCGCCCCCCATTCCCGTTGGGAAAAAGAAGAAAAAGAACCTGCCCCACCCTCCTGTCCCCGGTGGGAGAAGCCAGTTACCCAACCGCAACCCTTTCCCTCAAGATTCCTCACAGGCTCCGGCGAGGTTGGAAACTTACAGCATACCCCAGAGCAAGAAGGAGGAGCTTATGGGTCAAGCTGGGCACCCTTTAACCCCTGGTCCTTCTTCACAGCAGCCACTGCATGTTACGGAAGAGGACCAGTCTGGGTTATCTTGCCCGGGTCACTTTTTCCAGGAACAAGAAAGGGGCAGGTTCGGCAACGGAGTAAAAGGCTGCCTTCTTCCGTCTTCCGAGCCTTCTTGAGCGCCGATTCCTGGAGCTGGGCTTTTGGGGGAACTTTGATGACGCAAACAGGGCCAGGAGGTGTTCCCAAAGAAGGCAAGGATGTCAACATTATTAGAGCAAGTGGGTGAATGGGTCCTATCCTAGATTTTGAATGGGAATCTGGAGCCAGGGAGCGACACTCTAGCCTTCAGTGCTTAGGAGAGGTAGGAGAGAGAGAGAGAAGAAAATGTAATGGAAGGACGGGGAGGGTTGGTGCTCTGGCTTTCCATTTGCCAGCAGGGTGGATGGGATTTGTAGTTTCACGACATCTGGAAGGCTACAGGCTCCCCACCCAAAATATAATTGCATCCAATAAGCTACTGGAACTTTTCTTGTGTTTTTTTCCCTTGCACCTTTAGTTTTTTGTAAACTAAACTTGTTGCTGTTTGATGTCCTCTCTCCTAGAGGGGGAAGAGTGTTACACCATTGCTGAGTCATGTTTTGCTGTTAATAAATATAAACTACAATTTCTTAACACAGAAATACTTTGTTTATTGATCAAATGCATATAAATAACACCAGCATAGACAGACAAAGACCCTGTAAAATAAGATGTTGGCAGGGAGGGGGGGGACTATAAAGATATCCTTTATATTCTTATTTACGTAACTATTAAAAGTGATTTTCACCACATTGCCTACCGGGAAGTAAATCTTGCTCAGTTCAATGAGCCTTTATTCTGACACATATTTTGCATCGTGGGGATAGCTCAGTTGCTGGGGATAGAGCACCAGACGCTTAACCTCAGGGTCGCGGGTTCGAGTCCCGCGTTGGGCAAAAGATTCCTGCATTGCAGGGGGTTGGACTAGAGGGCCCTCCTGGCCCCTTCCAACTCTACAATTCCATGAGTCTAAGTAAGTAGGTATTGGGTTGCGGGCTTAAGCTCCCTACATGGGTTTTAACATTAATGCAGATCTTGTACAATAAAAAGGAACAGATCCCACGTAACAGGGATAAGATAAGACTATCAATGGCTAGCTCTGCTTCCATGGTCAGAGGCAGAAACAGACCCTCTAGCTGTCCCTATTTTCTAGTAACAGTCCTGGATTTACAGGTTTCTGATTTGATCCTGGAATGTCCCACTTTTCCTAAAGACGTCCCTATTTTCATTGGAGAAAAGTTGGAGGGTGTGGAGTTATGCAACCCCTGAGCCAAGGAGATAAGTAACTATACAACCCTTAGAAGACATCTGAAAGCAGCCCTACATAGAAATTTTTTTTCTTAAAAAATGTTTACTGTTTCATTATGTTTTCATCTATGTTGGAAGCTGCCCAGAGTGCCTGGGGCAACCCAGTCAGATGGGCAGGATACAAATAATAAATAATAATAATAATAATAATAATAATAATAATAATTATTATTATTATTATTATTATTATTATCATCATCATCATGAAATAAGATGTCCCATTTTTCATTGGGAAAATGTTGGAGGGTATGCAGTAATGCTTCTGAATGCCAGTTGCTGGAAACCATAGCGGGGAGAGCACTCTTGTGCTTGGGTTCTGCTTGCAAGTTTCCCATCAGCGCATCTGAGCGGCCACTGCGCAAACAGGAAGCCGGACTAGATGGGCCACTGTAGTAGTAGCCAGCATGCTCCTCATAGGCTCTTTCTCAGCCTGAGGGCTGCATTCCCTGCTAGGCCACATACCAGTGATGAGTGGGGCCAGAGGCAAGAAATGAATGCAATTTTTACCTTGGTATGGTAGGCTAGTTTCTACACCCACCCACACCCCACCCCCTTCTCTAGCCTCCTTCCAGGCAAGCAAGGGGCATTATTAGAGTGCAGTGACAGCGTCGCGTGTGGAGAGAGTTATGAGGGGCCAGATATAGACTTCTGGAGGGCCACATTGGGCCTCTGGGCCTGAGTTTCCCCATCCCTGCCCTACAGTGTGGGGGTGACTTGTTTTTAGACCAAGCCTTCTAAGAAGGAGCCCATCTGTAGTAGCTGCCTCATATTGATGCTCACTCCTCAAAGGCTACCTAGAGCATCTCTCCTTACAAAACACCCCTTATCTTATCGTTAACTTATCACTGTCTTTGCATCCTGACTCCCCCACAATGCATCTTCTTTTTTCCTTCGGTTGTTCAAATTCCTGGTGCATTTCTCTGCCTATAACTTGTTATCTTCTCAGTTCTAAGGCAAGCTTAGCATTAGCTTGTCGAAATCTAGCCTTCCTTTCTTGGCATGCTGTTGATTTTTATTTTATTTTGGCAAGCAAGTTTGAGTAAGGAGCATCTCCTGGGTACATTTCTCTCCGCCCCTGGATGTTTGCCTTAATTGCATTTTAAACTCCCCCTTGCCTTCCCACCTCGCTCAGAGCTGTGTATGTGCATTATCATTAATAGCATTTGTTTCCCCCCTCTGCTTCCAAAACAGCTTACATAACATTCAGCTAAAACAAGACAGCCCCTGCCCACAAGCTTACAATCTAAAAGGCACAACACAAAAGGAAAAATTCTTAGGAGAAGCGCCCAGGGTGGCGAAGGAAATGTAATCTTGGATCCTAAGTAGGTGCTCTTTTAATCCATTGGTGGTACTGAGACACAGTGCGGGGATCCTGCTAGCAAAAGGCCGAGGGAGGTGATTTTTGCCAATTTCTGCTGCAGCCGCTTGATCTGCCTCCATGCCGCCTTTGGTGAAAAAGTTCCCCAATCCAGCAGGGATTTCTGGGGAGTACAAACTCCAGAGGCTGCAGGGGGAGTTGGGGGTGATCACCTTCTGCAAGCAGAAGCCCAACTAGGATCCAAGACATTGCCTTACGCCCTTTGTCCTCACAACAATCCCATGAGGTGGGTTCACTAGGCTAGGAGACAGAGAGAGTACAGTACAGCTAATCCTACCTAACCCAGTGGGAATTTGAATCTGGTCTCTGATGTATCCCTCCCAGAAATATAGAAGAATTGGAAGGGACCACGAGGATCATCTAGTTCAACCCCCTGCAATGGAGGAATTTCTCAAAGCTAATAATAATAAATAATAATAAATTTTTTATTTATATCCCGCCCTCCCTGGCCAGAGCCAGGGCTCAGGGTGGCTAACACCAATAAAATAAAATCTCAGTAAAAACATAATAGGGAGAAAAGAGAGGGAGAAAAAAACCCAATTTAAAATACAGGTTAAAATGCAATTTAAAATGCAGCCTCATTTTAAAATAGCTGATAAATCAAGACCACAAGGGGAGGGAAACATAAGGGTCAGACCGAGTCCAAACCAAAGGCCAGGCGGAACAGCTCTGTCTTGCAGGCCCTGTGGAAAGATGTCAAGTCCCGCAGGGCCCTAGTCTCTTGTGACAGAGCATTCCACCACGTCGGGGCCAGTGCTGAAAAGGCCCTGGCCCTAGTTGAAACCAATCTAACCTCCTTGAGGCTCAGGACCACCAAAGTGCTGTTATTTGTGGACCTTAAGGTCAGTGGTAGAGCATCTTCCTGTGGGGCGTAAAAGGTCTCAGGTTCAGCATCTTCAAACAGGCCTGCCTGAAATCCAGGGGAGCCACATACCAGGGATGTGTTGGCAGCACTAAGCTAGATGCGCTCATGGCCTGGTTCTCCAACTGCTCTTTCTAAGGCAGGTTAAATGCGGCAATTAATTTGGAGTGGGGGAAATTCCACAGGGATTCTTTCCCATTTTTTTTCTGGATGATAGGCAGGGTCAGGTGGATTGAACTGGTGATCATGCCGATTGCCTGCCCGCCCCATTATCAGGGCAATTGTCAATTAATGATTAATCAGAACGCTAGGCCCAGGGAACATTCAGAAGGAGCAAGCTGACCCCATGGCAGGACGTGAGTGGGGCTGCTGTGGGTGGGCAGATTTTGGGAGTCGGGGGTGGGGGGGGTGGGATAAACGACAATGATGGGAAGGGAACAGTTCCTAAGCCAGGCGACGGAAATAAGAGTCCAGGAGCAAATACTATTTGTAGGGTGGGTGGAAATTAGTGGGGTTTCTTTCTTGGCTTCCCAAAGGCACAGAAGGAAGAGAGAAGCCTGGAATATGGCAACAGGGCGCACTGTCACCTACACCCCAAATACTTCATAAAAGAAACTGAGGTCTCAGGAGGGTTCTCTAAGTCCCCTCGGCAGACACCTTGGTTGTCTCTTGTTTGAACTATTTTCTCCTCTTTGCTGTTTCAACCTCTCACCTCGATCCTCTCTCCTGTGTCCAGCCATCTGCTGCCAAAGTCCTCTGGCCTCTGGCATCAAAGGGACGCTCCTCTTTCAATCTCAGCACTGGTTTCTTTTGTCTTCTTCCCAAATCCAGCACCGACTCCTTGTTCTTGCCTTGGGTTCTTAGCCATTGCACCACACGCAGGCACATCGCTGGTGCATCCTTTCCTGTGAACTTTCTCCTGCAGCATCACCACCATCTACCACCCAAAGGTCTCCTGCCTCCTCAAATGTTACACCCCCCCCCCCCGCTTTCTCCCTTGCTAACTCATAAGCTTGCCATTGCTCCCCCACCCCCACCCCCAAAAATAAAATCAAGTAAATAAATAAAAACACTTAAATGGGGTCGCTCTACGTGGGGCTGCCCTTGAGACGGACCCAGAAACTCCAGCGGGTGCAGAATGCTGCGGCGAGACTCCTTATGGGGTCTTCGCTGCGAGATCACATTCATCCGGTACTATACTAGCTGCACTGGCTCCCGGTGGAGTACAGGATCAGGTTTAAGGAGCTGGTTTTAACCTTTAAAGCCCTATACGGCCTAGGACCCTCGTACCTACGGGACCGCCTCTCCTGGTATGCCCCACAGAGAAACCTACGGTCTGCAAATAATAACATCCTCAAGGTCCCAGGCCTCAGAGAGGTTAGGCTGGCCTCAACTAGAGCCAGGGCCTTCTCGGCTGCGGCTCCAATCTGGTGGAATGCTCTGTCACAAGAGACTAGGGCCCTGCGGGACCTGACATCTTTCCGCAGGGCCTGCAAGACAGAGTTGTTCCACCAGGCCTTTGGTCAGGGCGCAGCCTGACTCCCTCCTCTGGCAACCCGCACAGAATTTTGCCTAATCGGTTGCCATCAATTTGATTTTAATTAATTTTTATAATGAAATATTTTTAGAATGTGTGATTATTTGACTGTTTGATTATTTGATTGTTGTTAGCCGCCCTGAGCCCGGCTTCGGCTGGGGAGGGCAGGATATAAATAAAATTTATTATTATTATTATTATTATTATTATTATTATTATTAACTAAAACTATGAACGATCAGACTGAAACTGAAATGCTTGCTGAGGTCACATGGAAGATGTTGCGGCGCATTCTGGCGAGGCAACTGGCAAACTGACCAATCGCGTTGCAGGTCGCTCGGTCCTGGAACAGGACAGGTGGACGTGTCCAGCCACCCCCACCCCAACATAAATCCTGGCTATGTTCTTGGAGCAGTGGCAGAACTCCCTAGCTCCCATGCTGTTTACCAAACCTGGGAGAACCCTCATTGGCACTCATGTTGGGGAGGGTTTTTATGTGGGATATAATC